GTCTTCCAGCCCGTGGTAGCCATTCGAGAACTTGCCTGCCCCAACGGCCATCGTCTCTACGAGCTATGTGCCCCGCCCACTGCCACTTGATTTTAGCAATTCTGCGAACTATGTCGGTCACTTTGGTTTTCCTGTGGATCTCCTTACTTACCGTTCCATAATTCCGTTAAATTACTTACCTAATGTAACTCAAATGTATGAATAAAAATTAAATAAATATTGTGTCCTATTTTTTCTGGGGGCACGGCAGTGCCCCCACCAAGTCGAGCAAAAAAGCGGCACGGCCGTACCATCCTTTTCTCGAAGCAATTCAGGCCATTTTCGACCGCCTGNGGTAGGGTCTAAATTCTATTATTTTAGTTTTTGAGTAATTTAATATTAAGTTGTGTTCTTGTAGCCACTCTGTTATTTTAGTAAAAATTGATTTTAGTTCTATTTGACATTGGGTAGCATTTTTAAACTTGTAAAGTAGCGATACATCGTCCGCAAACAATACACAGGGAGAGTTTATGATTTTAGGGAGCTCATTTATGTATATGAGGAATAGTATACATCCAATTACACTTCCCTGCGGGATTGAGCAGTTAACTGTTTGTGGTTTTGACTTGTAGTGTTTTAATTCATTTGTTTTTGAATCTAGATGGTCTATTTGCACATACTGTACCCTATTTTTTAAATAAGATTTTAGCCACTCGTAAGCCATACCTCTTATTCCACAACAATATAAAGCAGATAGTAGAGTTTTATGGTCGACTCTATCATACGCTTTCGACATATCGAGCAAAACACCCCGAGGGATAAGAGGGCCATCGTTTTGGGATAAGGGTACATTAATCAAGAGGTTTCATAACATGCCCCCGGGAGTTGGCAACGCGCACGCGTAAAGTAAATGGCGTTTACACGACTCGATGCGTTTTTCAGATTTGTTAATCGCGTTACGGTAACGTTACTTTGTTACTTTCGGTACTCGTTATTTTTACAATTTTGTTTTTAAAGAACAAAATTTGTCATGAAAAGTTATACAAAGATTTTCACATCATATTATTTATTGAAGGTAGTAGAGTTAAGCTTATCATAAAAAATATCCATTAAAGTATGAACCATTATTTACAAAGAAATGTTATTCAGTGATATTTCTTATAGTATAAGATCCCGCTATACAACGACCTTCACCGAGATGCTTNTTGATCTTGGTCTATCTAGGGTTCTGAAAGGTAATCTTGTGGCTTTATTTTTCATACAAGTTTCACATGTTTCTTTGCTGTATGGTAATCTCAATATGGCTAGATTTTTCCTGCACATATGTCCCATTCTCTTGTGCCATAAATTGTCATCTTTCTCTTGTACTAGGTTAGCACGATTGTTCTCTGGTAATTGCAATATAAATGTATACAGTAGACCTGTCTTGTTGCCTCATAAACTTTTCTGTTGTTTGCTATGATCAGTATCTACCTTCTTGTTTCTGAATATTACTTCCTTTCTATTTTCAATGATTTTACCGACTGACAGTAGGTTGTTACTTAGTCCTGGCACGATAACTACTTCCAATCTCAATGGTTCTTCTTGATAGTAAACATCTAGGTATCCCTTTTTAGTTGATTCCAATGTTTCTCCTTTTGCTATTTTTATACTTATAATGCTTTTCAAGTCTACTACATCCTTGAGGTTTTTTTCATAACTTGCTTTTATAAAGTGTTGAGTCGCACCCGAGTCCACAACAAATACTATTTTTCCATTTTTGCCATCACATGCCAGNGGATGTATTGGTAAACAGCCAGTGTAGTAGACCGACTTTTCCTAAAGCCATACTGGTGGTTGTCAAGAATCTTATATTTCTCTAAAAAGTAACAGAGACGGTCTGCCATTGCTCTCTCAAAAACTTTAGAAATTGAGGGTAATAGAGCTATAGGGCGGTACTGACCCGGGTCATTTATGCTGCCCTTTTTATGAATTGGTCTGACTATCGTAATTTTAAGTTGTTCTGGAAATTTTCCTTCACTGAAAGATTGATTTATTAAATTTTTCAGTGGGATCGATAGTTCAGATGCGCATTTTTTCAATAGTATTGGGGGTATATCATCAGCCCCTGAACTATATGTGCCTTTAAGATTTTTTAATATAGTAAGTACCTCTTTTTCATCTATAGGTTTTAGAAATATGCTATTTTCCACTACTGTGCGAATGAGAGATTGTGCTTGGTTCCCGTCTTTGTCTTTTATTTTTTCACTTTTTCCAATAGAAGTAAAGAACTCGTTAAAGTGATCAGCGATTTCGTGAGGAGATTCAATTTTTTTATCATTTATATTTAATTGTATATTTTTATGTTTCTTATTTCTAGTTTTGTTTGTTTTTGTTTTTATAATTTGCCACATTGTTTTAGTTTTATTAGTAGATTTTGCCATTTGATTAATAAATATTTTCTTTTTAGAGATTATGATGGATTTCTTTAGTATTTTTCTGTATGATCTATAATATTTTCGAATTATTTCATTATTTGTGTGGTTGACTAAGACACGCATCATTCTTTTATTTTTACATGAGATTTTGAGTCCTTTTGTAAGCCATTTGGGTTTTTTAAGTTTTGTATATTTTATAATTTTTCTTGCGAAATATATATCTAATAAAGTCTTTATTTTATTTTGGAATATTTCATAGTTTTTATTTATACAAGATGGTNTTTATTTAGATTCTTTGTTACACAGGAGTTACAGAGGTGGGACAGTCCCGTATTAAACTTAATACTCAATAAAGCGTTACACACAACATAAAATCGGCCATATAATGTGTTAACGAGCTTGTTTATAACTCCCTCATTATAAAGGCACATTCACACTCCTTCGGGTTCGGGGCATTCGCAAGTTCAAAGTAAGTTTTTTATTATTATTCTCACCGCTGCAACTCCTGTGTAGCCAGGATCTACAGCTTAACCGCCAATAACCCAACCAGTGGAGGTTAAGTTTGTCCCAGAGGAAGGTATGACTTCACAGTAGGCCTACATAATACAAAGTTTTTAGTAGGTAAAATACAAAATTACATATAAATTTTACAACAACATAAAGGTATTAAGGTGCCACAGTGTTTACCTTGACCTGCTGCCTTCTCCAACTCGCAATCGACTAAATGAGTAGTTGATTAGCCACAAAATTAGTAGCAAATATCTGTTCAATCGACTAAATGAGTACTTAGTTGATTAGTGTTACAAAATTAGTGACCAATATCTGTAGTAAAATTTTACAAATCGCGAACTTAATGCTAATAGACATTCGTTTACCAGTTCAGTAGTACATAAAAGTCATTATTGTATATCATTTCTATTAAAACAGGGGAAGGCCCAGGCATGTACCGGTCACTGTCAATATCGCACGCCCCACCAACGCACCACAACAATGTGAATGCACCTTAACACACTGCAACCTGCATTTTGGCAGCATGCCTAAATAAATGTTGTTGCGTAAAATGGTTTTCTTTCCGAGAAGTCATTGGCACGAGATATTTTAAAGGATGATGGGCACTTTTCTATNAAGATGGTTCGTTAAGTAAGAGGGGCCAATTTATAGTGCGGATTTCTTGTCGAAATCTAGCTATTTGGTTCTCTGGAAAAAAACGTTTTCTTGATAATTTGATTTGATCAAACTCACATTCGTAGTTAAGAATCTTGTCTAACGTTACAATTATGCCATGGTGGTCTGAGAGACCTAAATCCAGAACAGCAGTGTTAGTTTCTCTGAAGTTTGTAAATATGAGATCGATACATGTTGCAGTTGTTTTACAGATTCTAGTTGCAGTTTTAACTTGTTGAATAAAATTATGAGTTAAAAGAAGGTTTTTAAAATCATGAGAATTTTTTTTATTCGACATCATATCAATATTAAAGTCTCCTCCTATTATAATGTTTTTATGTTTTTCTTTTTTTAATTTATTGAGCAAAAGGTTAAAAGTTTCAAAAAAGGTATCCGTTTCACGTTCATTCCAATACACGCACAAAATTAGCAAATTACTTGGGAATATTTCAATTCCGCAGCATTCAATTATAAATTCAACAGATAGGTCAGCTATATCTTTTCTTTCTTTGCATTCGATGCTATCTTTGACCAATATACCGACGCCTCCTCTAGTATATTTCTCTCTACAGTAGTTTGCCGCCATTGTGTATCCTTCTATCTGCAATGTATTTAACTTTTCCTTATTTAGGAAAGTTTCTGACATACATATAATATCTAGAGGTGATTCGTCTAGCAACTGCTGAAGGAGGTGGGTTTTGTTATTTAAGCTTTGTATGTTTTGGTACAGTATTTTTAGTTTATTCTCGAAATAAATGCACGGATTCTTCACTGGTGTCATCTTGTGTAACAGGAGGTTCCTTGAGGTTGTACATTACCAACAATATGAAAAGATATTTCTGCAAATCTGCAATACTTAGGTATTACGAATAGTCCTCACTCAGAGGATATGGAGCACTTCTTGCATTAGGTTCTCTTTCGGAATGCGGTATTAAAAGCGACGTTATTTTTAGAACATTAGTGAATCTACTTTTTTCGACTTTTGTTCCACAATGTAGTCAGAGAACCTGTTATAGACAAGTTATTTATGTTAAGTTTTGCCGAGTGAGTCATCGTATCTACCTTAAGAGAAAATTATGGGAATTAAATACGTATAAACATCAATTACATAAAAACATCTTAGATAAACATGTTAACTGTTTTTTATATTGTAGATTCTGTCTGTAAAATGGAGGTTTCTCAGATCTACTTATTTTAAAGAAATTTAAAAATGTCTGTTTATAACTTGCCCGAGCCCGATCGTCGAATCCGGGCCCTTTACGTTTAAGGAGATTCAAGCCACACCATCGGACAAGTAAGTAACGGGTGTCTCACCGACCCATTGTCCGAATCCCAATCATCGCACTCGTATGTTTACGAATATGCGTCTACGAACTTTCTCTATTACAGCATCACTGCGCCCGCGCTCGAGTCGACGCATGTCACTCGCGGTTCCAAATTCAAATTCGTATGGTGTTCTTAATTCAAAGTTTAAATTGTTTTTAAAAATATTTCAAATTGTCGAGTGCGCCTCTGTCAAATGTGTGAGTGTTTTGTTCTTCGGACATGCGAGTGTGATGTGTTGTGCATTTAAACGATCTTGTTTTGTTTATATTACGGAGTTACTGCATTCAATGAACGATTTTTAGAATAAGAAAGGTTTGGATACTATACCTACATATTTATTAATATCTTATCTATATATATAAAAGAAAGTCGTGTTAGTTACTTCGCTTATAACTCAAGAACGGCTGAACCGATTTAGCTGAAAATTGTCAGGGAGGTAGTTTAGAGCCAGGAGAAGGACATAGGATACTTTTTATCCCGTTCGAAATTAAAATAAAGTCTGCTTATTTATTGCCATTAAGGCGGAACAAAGTTCGCCGGGTCAGCTAGTTTTATATACTTAAGACTTCATTACTATTTACAATATTATGAGTTGTTTTGAACTTTTGTAAACATAGGCTTTTAAAATATAGAGAAAGTTATCGAATGACTCAGATATAATTCCAGATAATCTGCTATAGGAAGCAATGGAAAATTCTGTTGGATCATAAAACTTTCCGTTACATAAACATCTATCGAATCTTGGGCCTTAATGCTATTTTGTTGAAGCCGGCAAGTTCTTAAAGTAGAAGTAAATACAGTGTATCTAGTTCACTCTTTTATTATGCAAGTGTAAACGGTTTGTTTTGTGACGTAATATTGTATGAGAAGTATTACGTTAGATCCCGGTAACGCTAAATTATCTATAGTTAGTTCGATACTATTCGAATTGGCATCGAAATTTATTAAAATTAAGTTATTTAAAAGATGCCAGCTCCAGTTGGAAGACGTAGCGTGGGCAGGCCTCCCACTAGGTGGACCGACGATCTGGTGAAGGTCGCGGGAAGTACCTGGATGCAAGCGGCGCAGGACCGGTCTTTGTGGAAATCCTTGGGGGAGGCCTTTGTCCAGCAGTGGACGTCTTTCGGCTGAAACGACGACGAACGACGATTTAAAAGATTAAATTAAAATAATAAGACTGTATGGCTTTGTGGTTAACTGCAAAAGCTGCTGTAACGAAGACGCGGGTTCGAATCCCACAGACGGTCACAGAAAGTTTGTGTTATGAACCGAAAGAAGGAAAGACGAAAATGTTTATTTGCCATATAAAAAAAATACTAATAATCAGCATAAAAACCAATTAATTAATTTGAGTTCACCCATTTAAATTGTCACTTAGGCACTTTTTATTTGCGAAAAAAGCTTACATTTTTTATTAAATTGTGCAAATAAAATGTCAATGTTTTTAGGTATGTTTTTACGAGTGACAGTATTAAATAAAGCTGCGTTGAGGCTCATCGTTCATTTACACTCAGCTGGTGAAATTGAGGTCACACGTAAACTCAGATTTAAGCAAAAAGTTAAACATCAGCATAAAAATAAACCAAGTTTTATACTTTACAATTTATCGGTTTTACTGTAGGTGCTGTAGGTAAGTAATAAAGTAAACTGGTCTTATTCCGCTCCAAATGTTAAGATAGAGAAATAATCTTACACTTTCTTTAAACTAAAGGTGTAGTTATGACGTGTAGAGTTTGAAGATCTAATGAGATGTGGTGGAATTCCGTTGTCTTGGAAAACTTTTTGCTTACCATTTAACATATTTTTTTTTAATCAGAACACGGCAGGTTTTTACCGCAATCGTACCTGTTGTTAAGTGATTTTATTTGGGGATTTGCTATCATTTTGAATGAATGAAACGTTTGCTACGATTTTTTAAAACAAACTGAAAAGAAAGAATTCGCCAAAAAGCTCCATTACCTCTACATTTTTCCGTGTGCAAAGGACACAGATTGTGATATAAATAAATAAATAAATAATCTTTGGACAATTTCACACAGCGCCAGCTAGCCCCAAAGTAAGCAACTTAATGCTTGTGTTATGGGTGCTAGCTTAACGGATATACTACTTATATATGATATAGAAAGCGCTAATTAATTAACTAATAATACCTCACCTTTAGAGTTGCAAGTTGCTTCTTAACGTACTTACGACTGTATACGCAAGTAAGTAGTAAGAAATTAAGATAAGCCACTTACATTAGAGTGTTCACATTTGCATCGTATGTAATCACATGTAGTTACTTACTTACGTGAGTAAAACTTATAAATGTAAAGGCAGTTTTCAATGTAGTTCTTCTTCTTTTTAGTCGGGCACTCTTGTCATGGTGGTCGTGGTTGCGCTGACGAGGTACATGGTGGAGTGATTTCATCGCCGAGGGTAGCTCTCCTGGCGAAGTGCTTCCATTTCTGACGGTTAAAGGCGTCGCGAGTACACTTGACCATGGTGGACTCAGTGGCCTTTGTGATAGCGTCTATCCAGCGGGTTGGCCGACCGCGTGCTCTCTTGTCTTCCACACTTCCTGTAAATGTAGAGTTATTAAACATTAATTATTTCTAACCCACAGATTAACCAAAGACAGTGGATGTAGAGACTAGAGACCAAAGATGTTCGGGTTTAAACGATCAGTCGCCTTCCTGGTGGTGACCCTAGCGTGGGCCCTGCAATACTACACCTTCAGGAGCGTACTATTATGGTACATTTTCGCAGTACCACTGTCGCTTGCCGTGGTATATGCAGTTGGGACCTATGACCATGAGTACTGGGCCGATCGCGGGATCTTCGCCCCTCCTGCTTTGCCCTTCGTGGGGCATATCAAGACTGTCGTCACCTTCAAGGAGCAAGGAGGACTGTTTTTCAAGAGAATCTACGATCAATACAAGGATCTGAGGTTTTTGGGTGAGTATTTAAAAATTTAAAAGCCAGCATTTATCTCAAAGTACTCGCTGACAAGTATAAAATGAAAATAGGACATAATAGCAGCAGGATTATTATAAAATTGATGTTATTAATCTGATCAATTTTATAACGTAGGTAAATTCGTTCTAGTGATGTACCGTCTATCGATGTCAAAACTTTAAACTTCGCCGACGCTCTACTTTGCTATGCACTTAAACATTTGAAAAGTAATATTATTGTTGTTTTAATAACACGAGGTTAATTTAATCAAATGAAATATTTTATTCAGCGCAGCGACACCAATATTCATACTAATATTGTAGGTATTTCTTGTTTTTTGCGATTCCAAAATCTAGCTTGCTCAATATCAGAGGAAATTTAGTCGAAACTTATTAAAGTACTTAACTTTAGGTATCTCAATCGTTTAGCCACTAAACAAGTCTATCGATATCAAAGCAGTATCGATGCCCATCACTAATGTACTGCACCATCCATATTAATTCTGCTCAGAGACCGGAGCCGGACACTTCACGGACTCCGGGGTCCGGACAGCCCGGACGCTGCTCTCGGGGTGCAAGAATAATTGATTCTTCCTGCACCACCTTTAGTAACATTGAAATTGATACTTATTTGGTCTAGAATTCTAGATAAAAGCTAGCTGAAAAGCGGGGCAAGTAAAATAGTCTTTTGCTTTGTAAATATTACTAAAGTATCATCATCAATTTAGTCACAGGACGTGCAAAAACAACATTTTTTTTATGCATAACAAGGCAGGTATTTGACCACAATCGCACCTGATGTTAAGTGGAATGCAGTCTAGGATGGTACATAGGTATCTGCCCTGTAAGTGCCTATTCTCTCGCCTTGAAGAGGCCCGCTTATAGTTTTCGGGAAAGACAGCAGCAGGCAACGAATTCCAGTCCCTAGCTGTAAAAATAATAAATAAACTCAATGAATTTCCCCAGATTGGCTGGGTAGTCTGACCTGATCCATCGCTAAAATTCATGTATGACCTACACTCCTACGTTAGCGAGACGAGTCTAGGAATGATACTACCCACGAAAATAGCCATAACGACTCCTATTCATAAATACATAAATAATGGCTTCAAAACCTTTTCAAGAATTTATAAAAACTAGTTACTATTTTTCCAGGAACGCACCAATTCTACCAGAGGACCCTCGTGGTCCGCGACCCTGATCTGATAAAGAGGATCTGCGTGAACGACTTCCAGCACTTCGTGGACCGCGGCTTCTTCTTCAGGGAGGACGTGGACCCCCTCGCCGGGTCCGTGCTGTTCCTCCGGGGGGCCAAATGGAAGCGCCTTAGGGCTAAAATATCGCCTATATTTTCGTAAGTTGCCTGATATTCTCTTCTTCTTTGTCCCATTTTCATCCCAAGTTGCCTGACAAATATGTGGATAAAACTGTATGAAATACATTCTTAAACCATTTTAACAATCCAAACAAAACAAAGGCCATACTATTATGATTAAAATAAATTTAAATATTTTCCTTGTAAATTCATTTGTCATATTTATATAAATTAAAAAAGATTTACGCACTTTATCAAATTACCTATTTGTTGCCCATTTAGCAACGAACGGATATACATAGACATACACCCATCCATGGGACCACCGATATTTTTAGATTGGGTTTCCTGTAGATTCTAGCTTTAAAGAAATTATTGTAATTTTAATTCAATATCTCTACTTTCCAGGCCAAATAAACTACGAAGCATGTTTCCACTAATAGACAACACAGCAAAAGAATTTTTAGTTCGAGTGAAAAAGCAATGTACCAAAAACAAACACGATGCTAGTAACAACGCCAGTGAAAAAGACAAAATAGTGGCTAAAGAAGAAACTACTGCAGAAGTAAAGTTTGAGAAGTTCGTTGGAGGTTTCACGGCAGATGCAATAGTGCCGTGTGCCTTTGGACTGAAAAGCAATGTCATGGATAATGAGGATGATCCGTTTGCTGTAGCGCTGCATGCCTTCTACGAGATGTCGCTGTTCAACATATTTGAGAAGTAAGTGTAGCGTCTTCCCATAATGAGAGAGTTCGAGGTGACCCTTTAGTAAATAAAATCTCACTGAGTGGTTAGGTAGGTACTATGTAATTTTATCTCACTTAATTGCAATTATATCGCGAGTTACATAAACGGAAATATTACATATAACGTGGTAAGAATAGAGCAATTATTATAATATTAGATGAGTTTCAGTGAAATATAATACGAATACGTTCGTAATAATGTACAATTGGAGAATTTGGAGATAAAAAATTGCTCTAAAGTTATTGCCAACCTCCCCTTTTTTCAGCAGTACAATAATTTGTCTTAATTGTTATCATGTAGATTCCTTATCAATCATAAATCAAACTTATTTCAGGACCATGCGTCAATTCTGGCCAGCCTTCGTGCTGTTCTTCCGTATGAGAATCATTCCGAAGAAGACCCACGACTTCTTCTATAACATCGTCTGCAGTGTGCTCAGGGCCAGGGAAAAAGGTAAGAGTGTAATGCACGTTTTCACCATCAATCCCTATTTTTAAGTGACCCCTATGAAAAAAATCATGTTAAGTGTTACCATAGGGTTCCCTTAAAAATTAGGAATTGATGGTGAAAACGGACAGAAGAAGTTTATAATAAGCATATTTGTAAAAGTGAAAATCTATCAAAATCCATACAAAAACACCGGTTAAATTTGTAGTTACGGTTAAAAATAAAGTAATGCAACTCAGCCAGTAGGCATGTTACTCGGTCATCGAAAATCAACCTCATTTATTTTTCTACTACACTTCCAAGATTCCATACGGTACAAATGTCTTTTTGCTTCATACCTTGTATATTGACACAAAATTTTTGATTACAGGTGACCAGGAGAAACGCGGAGACTTCATAGACATGATGATGGCACTGCGCAACGATGACACCAATCAAAATAGCAAGCCGGTTGAAGAGGACATCGAAATCAGTGAGTTGACAAACTTCGAAATCGAATTTACGATAGATTTTAGCGTCGTTAGCGCTAAGACAACAGTTATTTCAGTCTGATTAGAGTTTTAAGTCAGGTTTTTGCATGATAATGCTAGGCGTAAGTTTTTAGGCATGATTTTTCTCATCTCAGTTATTGGGAAAACTTGAAAATCTTGTAACCCAGATCCCTCCAGCTACATATCCTGTTCCTCGAAGTCTGATATTAGCCAGAAGATGGGATTATTAAACTTTATCAGTAGTGCCACTCTATTCTTTCTTGCTTAAAGCGAAAAGACCTCCTAAAGCCTAAAGCCACAGAATAATAATGTAAAGCCTCCTAAAGCAAGGAGGTTAAGCAATTAATTAATTAAGGTTAAGAGCTCTTATAGGTTCTGGAGTGGATGCCACGTATCGAAAAGCGAAGCGTAGGGCGTCCACTCACAAGGTGGACCGATGACCTCATAATGGTAGTAGGAAGCTGGATACAGGTTGCCTCTGCCATCGGTCATTATGGAAATCACCTATGTGCAGTGGTGGACGTCCTATGGCTGAAACGATGATGATGATGTTATAAAGAGTACCTGAATGTCTCTTATGTTGTTGTCTTTTGATTTTGATTTTTTGATTTTGATTTTTGATTTTGATTTTGATTTCTTATGTCCTCAGCTGACATGGTGATAGCAGCAAACGCGTTCATAATCTTCCTGGGCGGCTTCGAGACCACCTCCTCGACCCTGGCCTTCCTGTTCCTGGAATTAGCGGCGCACCCAGAAGTCCAGGACAAGATGAGGAGCGAGATCGAGGAGGTGATCGCGAAACACGGCCAGATGACGTACGAGGCGTTACAGGACTTGACGTATATGGAGATGGTTATATTGGGTATGTATAGTAATTTAAGTTATAGGAAAATAGAACTCGGGAAAGCATTAAAAAAGATCAGCCCTCGACTTTGATTTATTTTAGTTTAACTTAACATTATCATTTTATTTATTAAAACTATACATAATAATAAACTTTTTCTCCTGTTAACGACCCCTTAAGAGACTTCTACACTTTATATTTATGTATATTCCTAGGTCCCATCTAGATTTATTTCTTGTGGTGATCTCTAGTTCAGTATAAGCAGGAAAACGTATTTCGCGTGCACAGATACAGTTACTTTCGCATACAATATTATGGCATGGATTTTTACGATGAGAAACTCTTAAAATATTGTGTAAGTCGAACTGAAATCGACAGCTTATGGTTTAAAATTAAGTTAAAAACATGTTCTAGATCATTGGTTCCCAAAGTGCCGCGCGCCCCCCAGGGGAGGCGCAAAGCCTTTAAAAGGGGGGCGCGGGCCATCTGTGTACTTAAGTATAAAAAACCTGCGACTGCTGAGAGATAATGCATTCCAGACTGCTCGATACGACCAATAAATAATGTTGACTGGAGGAGGGGGGGCGCGGATTTTTTTGTATGGTCGAAAGTGGCGCGTCTCAAATAAGTTTGGAATCAATGTTTTACATTAAAAAAGCATTTTAAATGTCCGTTTTACAGAGACCCTTCGCCTGTACCCGCCGTTCCCAACCATCCAGCGGATGTGCACGAAAGACTACACCATCCCGGGGACCACCGCCGTCGTGGAGGAGGGCACCATTGTGCTGTTCCCAACGCTGGGCATACACAGAGATGAACAGGTTTGTACCTATTCCATTCACTGACCACAACATTCTACTTCAGGTTTGTCCCACTAACTTATGACAAATAAGACCTTCTAGTTCTTTTTACAGACCTTAGTTAAGTATGCATTCTGATACAAAAATAATGGATGGAAGGGCAAAGCGTCATGATACTAGGCGAAAAGATAATGCGAACCTATTCCTACAACCACAACTGCAGATATTTAAGTCAGACTATTTAGTAAGTTTGAAAAAATACTGATACTGAAATAATAATAACTGATTGGGCACAGAACTATTTCCACCTCTCCTGTGTAGTAAGGATCTACAAATCTTGACCGTCAATAAAAACCCAACCAGTGAAGGCCAAGTTTGTCCTGGAAGAAACTGTCATTGGAACTGCAACAAAATTAATCAACTGCTAGTGCAATAAACTAGAAACTTTTTAAACTAAAAAAAATCTGTTTGACCAGTATGCTTGTCCGCGATTATCTCGCGTTTGGCTAAACCGATTTTGACGCGGTTTTCAGAAGCGTTATTTGTATAATTATATGTATATTCCAGTACTTCCCCGATGCGGAAGCGTTCCGCCCTACGCGCTGGGCGGGCGCCGCGCCGCCGCCCGGTGTGTATGCGCCCTTCGGCGACGGGCCCCGCTACTGCATAGGTAAGCAACCTACTGCAATACCTTATCACCATCATATACTCAATACTCTATAAGTTTCGTTCGTTCGTTTCAGCCGAAAGACGTCCACTGCTGGACAAAGGCCTGCCCCAAGGATTTCCACAAAGACCGGTCCTGCGTCGCTCGCATCCAGGCACCTCCCGCGACCTTCACCAGATCGTCGGCCCATCAGTGTGCTTACCATGAGTTTAAGTTACGTGTGCTCGCTAGCGACTGCGTAAAAAAATGTCATTAATTGTATGATATATTGTGCAGCGCCCCTAGCGGCTACTTTCAAGAAACAAAATCTCTATAGAGATTTTTGACGTTTTCGCTAGCGAGCACACCTAACGTAAACTCATGGTAGGTACACAGATCTACAGGGTGTTAGGTAAATGGGTATATTATTATGAGCCGACACTAGCCCATGTTAACATGGTCATATAAATGGTATGGTGAAGTCAGAAAATTGATATCTTCATTTTAATTACTTTAATTTTCACACAAAACAGATTTTATAAAATTTATTATGTATGAAAATTTAAAAAAATTTAATGATGATATCAAATTTCTGACTTCACCATACCATTTATATGCCCATGTTAACATGGGCTAGTGTCGGCTCATATACCCATTTATCAAACACCCTGTATAGAAGGAGAAACTGACTGACTGACTGACAGATCAACGCACAGCCTAAACGGCTAAACGTAGGCACTTGAAATTTGGAAGGGACGTAGCTTAGGTACCGTATAGGTGCACTAAGAAAGGAATTCCCGAAATTCCCACGGGAACGGGAGTTAGCGGGAAAAAACTTGTATGAAAAAATCTAAACCGCTTAAGATAGATGAAGGGGGTAAAACGGGATCCACGCGTACGAAGTCGCGGGCGGCCGCTAGTACTCTATAAGATTCGTTCGTTCGTTTCAGCCGAAAGACGTCCACTGCTGGACAAAGGCCTCCCCCAAGGATTTCCACAAAGACCGGTCCTGCGTCGCTCGCATCCAGGCGCCACCCGCGACCTTCACCAGATCGTCGGCCCATCAGATCTATAAGTTTATTGCTTCCTTCATAGTACATTTAGGTGTTACATTATAGTTGTAGATCACTAAGGACCCTGTTGGGCGCTGCAAACTAAAAATCAATAGGAAAGGAGGCTTCTTTTTATAGATAGAAAGTTATAGTTTAGGTACATCGCTAATGGTGTAATAGTATTTCGTAGTTAATAGCTCTTTTAGTCCAGTTATGAATTTACTATTATTATTTTATTTTAAATGATCATCATCATCATCATCATCTCAGCCATAGGACGTCCACTGCTGAACATAGGCCTCCCCCAATGCTTTCCATGTTGTCCGGTTGGTAGCGGCCTGCGTCCAGCGCCTTCCTGCTACTTAAATTAATGCTTTAAGTACTTTAATTTTTTTTTTTATCTTTTACGTACCTACATACACCAACGACAACAATACACTTTATATTGAAACACGCATAATGTTAAGCCAATTGCACTATCCCATAAAGAACAGTTTGTTAGAAATATAAATAGCTGCTTAGTAGCGTAAATGGTATTTAGGTTGCTATCTAAAACCGCAATTCGCCTTAATAATAAATAAACAAACCGTTTGAGTAATAAACTTTATTATCAATGAGTAGTTAAAAATAAACTACTTTATAAACTTAGCCTAGGTATACAAATATAAGTTTGGTTTCAGTTAAATTAAGTACCTATGTTAAGTTAGTGATGTCACCAGAACTTATCGCTATAGCAATTTGAAGTAAACTTATGTTCCTCCATATTATAATTTTGCATGTTATTTGTAATGGCGAAACATGTGCACTACTGAATTCTGTAACATCTTTATATACCATGTTTTTACGCAAATAAAATTCTGATTCTGATTCCACTGTATGTATTTTTTGGTTCAAAATAGTATTTATTACGAAGACCATAATGCTTTAGTTTGGTGTTTTGCATTATCTGTACGCACAGATAATAATAATACTGGTCTGTAAGTATACTTGTATGATGCATGCTGGCCAGTAGCTATCTTATCTTGCGGATGCATTAAGTATAGCATGTGAGATTGTGTGGGTCAATAGTTTAATTACAAATGTATGGTTAAATAATTGTAGATACACATTTTAACCAGTGCAATAATTAATTAAATATGAATGAACAGTAATTACTATGAGACCTACCTTCCATATTTATGTTTTTGTTTAGCAGTTTTTGCAGGAAACAATGACATTTACGGAGATTTAACAATTAATGTTACTTATTTAGAATTATCTTTGTTGAAAAATAAAATAAAGTAGGCCAAACCAAAATCACATAATATGTTTTTTTAGCAATTATTACTATTTGAATATTTTTGGTTACACTCTTTAAGTAGGAAAATCTTGGAAAGGGTTAAATAAGGATGGTAGGTCTCATAGTGATATCTGTCAGAATAACCCTAGACTACCTCCCCTAACGGCTCTGCCACTAATCCACAAACAAACGCACTTTAATACATTACAATTTATTATTATTATTATGTACACACACACAGTTTTGTTTTTTAAATATTATCTTTTTATTTATAAATATCTTATCACATCTTTTCTACTTCGTCTATATCGTATATTATTATTTTCTACTACGTCTGTATATACATTTAAAATTTATACGCGCACAATTATTATTTATGTATGTATATTTTATGCAGTATAGGTTAGTGTCCGTGACTCTCACTCGGCATGGGGCACACTGAAAACCAGCGTCGTGGCTTCCCTCACCGGGGGCCACGGCATATGCTGAGTGAGGTCCCATTGCGATGGGCATCGCTGTGCGACAGGGTGGCACTGCTTAGTTTATTCATTCATTTATTGTATGTTTTATGTCACCTCTGTCTTATTTGCTTTTTTTTTCCATTTTACCTCTTCTGTCTTTTGTGATGTCCATAGCAATAAATGTTTCTTTCTTTCTTTCTTTCTTTCTTTCTTTCTAATGAAATGAGGTCACCCTGTATAATTAACAACAAACGACACAATAACTACAAATGCTTATGTTATCATTGATAGTTTACAACTAAAGTTATCAATTTACATGTAAATTATCTCCTAATTTAGCCATTATGTAATTAGGGATGTAATAAGTATTATGTATAACAGGGCTTTAAAACCCTGTAACTATTGATCATTCATCATGCCTTCCAAAATAAGTAGATATTTAGTCTTTTCCAAGTTCCTGTCGTTTCATTAACATTTGATTAATAACTTATCAGCAGAATCGCTTTATTCAAAGTTATTGTTAACTTAGCTGAATTCCTGTGGTTACGACACATTGTTATGCGTTTTGCAATGGTATCAAATTTTGAATTTGTATTACTTATCGGATTACATTCTTATAACGGGACTATTGTGTACCCAGGATCTACAGCTTGGCTTGACAATAAAAACCCAACCAGTGAAGGTAAAGCTTGTCCTGGGGGAAACTAACTATCGTTGGACCCGCAACGAAATTGATCAGAAGAACATAGGAGTTCGAAGTTAAAGAAGAAGAGGTGTGACCCGCTGTCTGTCTTTGGTTCTTGATGCTATTTAGGATCTAGGTGGACCGACGATGTGGTAAAGGTCGCGGGAAGAACCTGGATGCGGGCAGTGTAGGACCGTTCATTATGGAAAGCCTTGGGGAGGCCTTTGTCTAGCATCGGACGTCATAGTACGCAGAACTGACGGCCGATGGGGCAGCAAGGTTCTAGAGTGGAGGCCACGTACCGGAAAACGCAGCGTGGGACGTCCACCCACAAGGTGGACCGACGACGTGATAAAGGTAGCAAGAAGGCGCTGGATGCAGGCCGCTACCAACCGTGTGATGTGGAAGTCATTAGGGGAGGCCTATGTTCAGCAGTGGGCGTCCTGTGGCTGAAATGATGATGAACGAATGAACTTAATGATATTTGTGTGCATTGCAGGGAAGCGGTTCGCGATGATCCAGATGAAGAGCTGCCTGTCGCAGGTGGTCCCGCGGGTGCGGGTCTTCCCCGTGACGCCCCGCGCCGGGCCCTTCGCGGCGGACCCGCGTTCCCCGCTCACGCTGCACCCCTACGACTCCCGCGTCAGAATCAGCCTCATTCAGACAGACAATTGAAGACTCATCTTTACAATAGTTTTGTTTATAAATCGCTCCCGCTGTCTGTACAGTTAGATCTTCTAAGGCCTTGTCCAGGAGGGCGAATTCGCCGCGAATCCTACGCGCGTTGGCGAGATACTATAGTCTGGTCTGCGAGCACGTAGAATTTTGTCCAACGACCCCAAGCTACCCATCCTTATCGCTAGCGCGTAATTATGTTGCTGTCGCGCTCGCACACTCACTGCTAGCGCCCGTCGCACAATCGCGACAGCAATATAATTACGCGCGAGCGATAAGGATGGGTAGCTTGGGGTCATTGGACAAAATTCTACGTGCTCGCAGACCAGACTATAGCTTAAAAAAGTCTCTCCCGTTGCCTGTACGGTTAGATCTTCTAAGGCCTTGTCCAGAAGGGCGAATTCGAATCCTACGCGCGTTGGCAAGGTACTAGCAGCCAATACATTGCGTTAACAAGACACGCGCGAGTTGAAAATTCGCGCGTAAATCTCGTCATTCATACGCTCGTGTTCGCGCGAAGACGTTCGCAGCGAATTCGCCCTCCTGGACAAGACCTAAGCACTGGCCTGATAAACTAAGTACCTATCACTTTTCAAGGCTGGGTTGCACCATCTTACTTTAAATTTAACAAAAGTCAAGTCCGTCAAACTTCATACAAAACACAACGGTTAACGTTATAGTCACGGTTAAAATGCAACATAGTCTTAAAATTGCAAGTTTGGACTTCGTGTCTTCAATAGAAGACAATAATAATTGTCAAAGAAAACTGATAGGATTTGCTATAAATGTTGTATTTAAATTAACTAACTTCTATAGTGTACAAAAAATTTAAGTAACTAATGCCCATTTTCACCATCAATCCCTAATTTTTAAGTGACCCCTATGGTAACGCTTCAGGAATTTTGTTTACATAGGGTTCACTTAAAAATTAGGGATTGATGATGAAGACGGGCATTAGTTTTGCAGGCCAGTATGATATACCTAGATATTAATTATTGCAGTTTTTAGCAATAGTGATTCAAGAAGCATGTTTTTATTTACATATCATTTGGGCGAAGTCGGGTCGTTAATGTTTTTAAATAAACCAACAACAGTGTGATCAAAATTCCTTCTCAGCTAGTTATAGAATTAAAACATCTGTTGATTTATTTTTATTGCAGTTCACAGTTTTTATTGATTTTCATCAATGCTGTTCATCTTAACCACAAAGCGTCAGGACACTGAATAGAATAAAAAGTTAAGTTCAATTCTTTTTTGTTTTCTTTTTATTGCAGTTCAAAATTGTAAAATTTAATTGTTATAAACCGACCCTGTTATCCTTATGCATCAATTTAGATTGTTAAGTACCTACCTATTGTAATTTTGTGTAAATTTTTCGCTTGGGACTGCGGGTTAAATTATGTTTCATATTAAGGCAGTTTAATTCAGGTTTAGTAGTCGACAGCGCTAAGGTTTTATTAAAAAATAGAATATACGTAAACTATACCCAATGTTGATAAAGGTTTTTCACGCGTACGCGTAGGTACGTGGGATCCTGCTGCATTACTGGATTACTGAATTTTTAGTAAAAACCTCCCTAGCCTAAAAAAAGGTTTGCTAGAGGATTAAATACGAAAAAATAGATTACAATTTGCAAACCAGGGCAACTCACAAAATGAAACAAGCAGCTATAAATGTAGAAAAATATATTCTTTGGATTTATTTACATAAAGGTTATTTTTAACCGTCAAATCTTTCCAAGCGAGACCCTTCTTGCCAGCGGCATTTGAAGAAACTTATACACTAAAATACATGCATTCTTTTTGCAAAAAAAAAAAGAAAATATTTACACTTACACGCTAAGAAAAAGACATCAACGTTTCAAGTCAACGTTGTTCTCAAAAAATAAATCCACAGACTAAAGTCCATACTTGAAATAAAATATTAACTAAATAAATGCATAACTATTTGAATTCCATCGAACTTCATCATGTAACAGTCCTATGATTAAACTTAAACGAAATTATTTTTTTAAATAATCTGAAAATAATATTTAATATGAAAACATTATCTTAGCTCTATCTATATCTACCTATAGGTATTAAATTTATGAACTACTTATGTATGCGTTAAATTAAACATTTTATACAAACATAATTATTATAGTTTTTGCAATTCTCGAAAGGCGAGAGAGCTTTATATGTGTGGTGGCTCGCTATTGTTCGTTATTCAAAAGTTTTGATACACTATCGTTATGTGCATGTATACGTACACACAAGTAAAGCTCACTCGCCTTCTTGAGTTGCAAGAACTAAAACAGTGTTTGAGTTTTTTCAAAAAAGCTTACAAATATCAATCAACTAAAATATCTTTGGACATAAAATTAAATCTAGTTGTTTATAATGTACGAATATTCTACAATGAAGACGTACTTTTATTAATTTTATTTTGCTCGAGTAAATGCTTCCCTTTATGCGCAATTTGTCAAATTGTCCTACCTAACAAGCGCACTAGGATGACCCTATTTATACTTAATTCTATTTACTAGAAGAGGTAATTTACTAGGAACTATGACTTTAAATGTAAGATTCAGCATTAATTGCACAAAATGAAAGAAACTAAATTTCATACTCTTGTCTCATGTTGACGATATCGTTTAACGATTTAGGTGACTTGCACGTATTTTCACATTTCCTAGCAGATTTCTTTGCTTGGCCTTTAAAGCTTTTTGGCGCTCTAGAATTTGTGGGTGTATTTGTGTCAGCATTGGGAAATAACATTGGGTTCATTTGTGCCTGTAGTCTTGCCAATATTTCATTTTCCGGACTTAGCGCCGGAGAGTAGCCTCTATTTGGCTGAGGACCATGTGACTGTGCCATTGTGTTTGGGTCGAGACACATTTTTTTGACGGCGAAAGGTCCTGTCTTATTCTTCATGCAAAGAGGGCCAGGTTTCGATGTTTTACTTTTATCAATATTAGGCATATTATCACCATTACGAAGTAATACATTGCTACTATTCGTTGACTGTTTCAAAGTTGTATCAGCAACTTTCGCTTCTACATGCTGGTTTTCAAATGTTAAATTGTTGTTGTTTATAGGAGTAATAATTACATCATTACGTTTTAATATTGTGGGCACATTACGACTCCCAATAGTGTTAACGTCTCTGGGCAGATTCGTTTCATTTTTCTCGATTTCTCCAACAGGTTTGTTGCCATAGATTTGTGGTTGGTTTTTGTTTTGATATTGATCTGGTATAGGTGGAGGGGGATGTGTGAACCACAGAGGCTGGAGTGACGTTAGTAGGTGCTGAGGAGGTAATGGCGGCGGTGGCAGCGACGTAACGTGTGGAGTTGGAGGCGGCGGCGGTGGCGGCGGCGGTGGGCACTGCAGAGGGGGCGGGGGGCACTGCAGAGGGGGCGGGGGGCACTGCAGAGGGGACGGGGGGCACTGCAGAGGGGGCGGTGGGTACTGCAGAGGGGGCGGTGGATAAGACGGATTTGGAAGGTGTGAAATGGGATGCCCTCCAGTGTAAGGTATATGTGGATATCCTATATTTACAGCTGATTGAGTGACATTTGTGTGATTGCGTGTAAAGTTATTCGGGGATCCATTTACTGTAATATCATGGCTATAAAATTTCGGTTGGTTTAGCATGTTCACAGATACAGGAGTTTTATTATTTGCTGGAGCTGCAGAATTCTTGTTTGAGGGCTCGGTTTTAGAAATCTTTCCTGGTTGCAATCCCTGATTTGGCACTTGTATATTTGTAACAGTTGTAGCAAAGTTCTGCTGATAAATAGCCTGTCCATTAATTGCGCTATCATTCGTATTCATATTTGCTCTAATGCTCTCATTCATGTTAGAGCCGGTTTTTTGCTCCTGTATGTCAAACAAGTTGCCTGGGTGTTTCATAGTGCTGGTAGACTTTGCAATTTTATTAACATCAACTATAGGGGAATTGGGAACGGGCAGAGTCTTGGATCTGTTGGAAGATTTTGACTTGCAAGTAGACTTATGAATGATGTTGCTGTTATGATTTATTAAGCTAGGTTTTCGAGCTCCATTATGTGTGTGATACTGATTGTTGGAAGTGGCTGACATTGCGTTATTATTGTCATAAATATGTTTATCAGAATTTGTCAGATCGGTTTTCTTTGAAGGTGTTAACTTAAATTTATTAGCTGGATTCATCCTCTCTTTAGTAATAGAATTCATATTATCATTAGACATTGCACTATGGAGAGTTGTTTTAGATGCTTCAATATTGTTCACATCATTATCATCACCATTTCCTTTTGTCAATTTATCTAATTCACTTGGCAGCGGCTGCTTCTGAGAATTTTTGGAATTGCTTGGCACTGTAATAATAATATTTTCATTTTTATAAACTACATTATTTGTAACAGTTGGTTTCATCGAGTGTGCATTTATGTCTTTTGCGACTTTAGTATACCGGATATCTTTTCTTAGTAGTTGCTTAAGTTCTGAATTACTATTGCATGGTAATATTGGAGAATTGGATCTAAATGAGCCACTTGCAGCAACTACATTAGTCGAATCTCTCTCTACGATACTCGTAGGGGTTGTTTGTTTAATTAAATTATTCTTCGATTGTTCATTAAGATTATTTTTAATCAATGAAGCACTTGAATGATTAAGTTCCAAATATTTTTTGTAATGTGCTATGTAAACTGGAGATATAGTAGGCATATTTTTTTGTTTTTTTCTCTTAAAAATATTATTTTGACGTGACTTAACTGCTGAATTACTTGGAGATACAGGAGTTTCATTATTGCTAATTCTGACATTTCCATTGGTTGGGTTTGCTCTGTTTTCTAAGTTCTTATTGTCCATAGGTTGAACTATAGTGCCTAAAAGGCCTAAACTTTCAGAAGCTGAGGTAATGTAATATTTTTTTTCATTTGGGCTAGGCTTAGTACAAGTTGTAGTAGCAGGGAGAACAGGCAGGCTTATGTTTGCATTTCTACTGGTTGGGTTTCTTCCATTTTCAGGGTTTTTAATAATCACCGGTTCAACTCTAGTCCGCAAAGTTTCTGAAGCTGCGGTAATATTATTTTTTTTTTCTTTTGGTTTAAGCTTAGAACAGGTTACAGTAGCAGGAAGAACAGGCAGGCGTGCATTTCCAGTAGTTGAGTTACTTTTATTCTCAGGGGTTTTATTAACTGCCGGTTGAACTGTAGTCCCCAAAGTTCCTGAAGATGAAGTATTAGTTTTATTTTTTTCTTTTAGTTTAGGAGTAACACATGTTATAGTAGCAGGAACAATAGGCAGGTTTATGTTTGCATTTTTACTGGTTGGGTTTCTTTCATTTTCAGGGTTTTTATTAACCACCGGTTGAACTGTAGTCCGGAAAGTTTCTGAAGCTGCGGTAACAGTTTCATTTCTTGTTTTTGGTTTAGGCTTAGCACATGTTATAGTGGCAGGAAGAATAGGCAGACTTATGCTTGTATTTCTACTGGTTGGGTTTCTTTCATTTTCAAGGTTTCTATTAACCACCGGTTGTATTATAGTCCGCAACGTTTCTGAAGCTGTGGTAACAGTTTCATTTTTTGCTTTTGGTTTAGGCTTAGTACATGTTATAGTAGCAGGAAGAACAGGTAGGCTTATGCTTGCATTTCTACTAGTTGGGTCTCTTCCATTCTCGGGGTTTTTAATAACCACCGGTTGTATTGTAGTCCCCAACGTTTCTGCTAATGAAACGGTTACGACAGCTTCATTTTTTGCTCTTGGTTTAGGCTTAGCACATGTTATAGTAGCGGGAAGAATAGGTAGGCTTATGTTTTCATTTCTACTGGTTGGGTTTCTTTCATTCTCGAGGTTTTTATTAACCACCTGTTGAACTGTAGTCCCCAAAGTTTCTGAAGCTGAGGTAAAAGTTTCATTTTTTTCTTTTGATTTAGGCTTAGCACATGTTGTAGTCTTCAGAAAGCCTATTTTGCTTGCATTGCCATTGGTTGGGTTTGCTCCACTACTCTCAGTGTTTATATTAGTTACAGTGTGAATTGTAGTCCCTAAATTTCTTAAAAGTTTTAAAGCAGAGGTAATGGTTTCATTTTTTTCTATTGGTTTAGGCTTTGGTCGAGCTTTGGCCGTTTTGCATTTACTCGGTTTTGGCACTTTGGTGAATTTGGTTTTATTTGTATTTGCGCTCGATGATATATTGTTAAGTTGCTCAGATGATACGACTTTTAAACCTATCAAACCAGTATTATGTTTATAATTATAATCTAATTTAGATACGTTTGCTTGACTAAGAGCTAAATCTGCATCGCTTTTATATCGTTTACATGAAATGTTTTTTGTTTGAACAATTTTACGTTTCTTATCAACATTTTTTGATTGGCATATAATATTATGGGGTATATTAACCATTTCATTTTTATTTAGAAAACCGTCGCACGTATAATCAGTTAGATCTATGGTAATTGGATTATGTAAGTTTTCACTGGAATTATTATCCATGTTTAATTTGTTTTCTTGTGTGTAGGACAAGTTATATTTCTTATAATACCAGGGATGCTCTTTGCAATCGACCACTTGAATACTTAGAGGGCAGCACTCGTTCAAAAAGTCTATGTTGGATTGTAGATCAAAGAAACTCGTAGGCAGAAAACAACTGCTTTTCCCGTACCAAGAAGTTTCTTTTTGTTCACCCTGGTCTTGAGTCGCCAGTTCGTCTTGAGGTAAATTGGAATCTGGAACGGAATTAACATCTTATGATTTCTGATCACTCTGACAAACTCCTTATTAACTTGAGTAGTGATCATGAAGAAGTGACGTTAAATTTTTAGGATTCTAGAATTTTTAAGAATTAACAAGAGTCTTGACTAAAATGTTTTGACCCAAGACAAATATTATGTTGACTAAATACTGGCTTCTACGTTTGTGTCGCGTTCTAAAGCAATAAGTTCAGCAAAAGTCATTCATTAGTAGGTATGACTTGCTGATAAGAAGACCCACGTCACAAAGCTGTGATCGCGTCAAGGCCAATCTCCTCGCGTATCGCGTAGCAAAGTAGTAGATAATTTTGTGATCCATATTATGACCGATTTGGCGTAGTGGCTGAAAATTTCACTACTATGTCAGTGAGCGCGAGTTCGATCCCGTCTGTTTGTTGTTGACAAAAAAGTGTTTATGATCGTATTTTCATAAAATAAAAATCCCGTGCCGTATTTTCAGAAAATTGTGATGTGAACAATTAATGTTAAAATTGATTTCGCACCGGGCTAACTTAGTAGCAGTATTGTATCATAAACGTTTGTAAAAATTGTTTCACCTTTAAAGGAAATAAGACTAAGGCTGGGTTGCACCATCTTACTTTGACTTTGAAAAAAAATAATTCAAACTTCATACAAAAAACATCAGTTATCGTTATAGTTACGGTCAAAGTTAGGTGATGCAACTCAGCCTAAGAAGCGTAAGTATTTGTACGCTAAGCTTACATTGCCACGCCATGAACAGTAGGTAACGCCATAGAAAAACGCTTAGATGCGCTGATTTCTATAATCAATTCCAATCTCAATCCGTTCGTCAACTGTCAAATTTATATCTGTTTTTGGTCGAAATAGATATCACAGTTTTCGATGTTTTTACTTTTCATATTGTTTATAACATTAATTTTCATATTGTTTATAATATTAAAACAATGTGAAAGTGTAAAAGCATCGAAAATTATGGATATTTGATCGCCAACATATTAAAAGACAGTTGATGGACGGATTTGTATTGGGATTTGGCAATCCGGCGTTAGTGTTTCAGGCGTCCTAAAAAAGTATCGACAGACATGACTCACCGTCCGGATACGGCAAGTCGCGTGGCCCGTGGTCTCCGTCCGGTTCCGAAGGCTGTCCGTGGAAGTGACGATCAGCGTCGGCTGACTCCTGGTGACTCATAGCTACGACAAAACAAAACATAACATAGAAAAAAGAAATGGCGGTCAGGAAGGGAAAATTGGCTTATGGCAAAACATACTTTAAACACAAATCAACAATAAACAATCCTTAGAAAATACCAATTTTTGTTATGGAAAAATGCATTTTTCATAATAAAACATAAACTTAAAACAGGAAAAATCAGAACACAAAAATCTTTTTAAACTCAAAAACATAAGCCAAAGCACATTAATAAAGTAAAATTAAAAAAGGTACGATTCAGACTTTTTTTCAATAAAAAACAAAGTTTTGTTAGACACACACACTTTTGTTAGGAGTTAAAAGTTCATCTTATTCATCCGTCAATAAGCCAAGGGACCGGAAATTGATAACGGTAAAATAAAGGTCAAAGATTAAAATAGAAGTTATATTAAACGGTTAACTCTTTCGCAAAGATGTATAAAATATACCTATCGTAAAACTAAATATTTTATTAAAACAGGAAATTTTTATTTAGCAAATAGAGTAAACAGTATGCAGTAGTTTTATTTTACTGAACAACGAACCACTCGAATTTATGTTCTGCAGCAAATTCCGCAATGATTTCATAAGATTTACGTTCGATGCACTTTTATTCAGATGTATGCGCGTGCGCAACATACATATGCGTCTGACAATATTACTCGATCAATAAAATAAGCTACGTTGTTGAGACTTGGGACTCAATTTAAATTTCCAATCACACATCGCGGTGAACACACCGACGACCTTCAAGACTTATAGATTTTAGACTGCCTAAATTGTGCCTTGTATCTTATGGCGCAAGTACATTATGCGGGAAGTGCCAAGACGTAATAGTGTGAACACCATCTCGGTTACTCTCTTCTCTCTCTTCGCGTGCGTCGCCCATACTTCGGAGTTCGGTGTGCGCGGGCTAGTGCTTCGACTTGGACAATTTCCCGCAAAGTGTACTTGCGCCATTACAATTTGTCGGCTTAATCCGTAGAGCACATTAAGCTAAACGTTGTTGCTTCTTATGTTGTTACAATAGGGGCGGTTTTAAAACGATAAAGTATTGTCTGTTGTGCTATCTATGTTCGACGAGGTAACACCATGAGATGCTGATTACTTTATAGTAATCTTTAGTATAGTTTATAGTAAGTAATATTTATATATTGAAGTCCTGAAACGGGTTTTTAAGTGATGATGTGGAAGCACATCACCTAATAAATGTTGATTATTTAACACAATATAACACAAAATAGGGCTGCTTTAAAGTAAATATTTGTAGACGATGCAATGCCAAAAGCTTAATTCTCTCTTATTAATAAAATAGTTTATAATTATCTGATTGTTATATTTCCACACGTAAACGTTTAGACACATTTTGTTATCACATTCATTCTTTAATATAAGACGGAAATTAATAAAACAAATAAAGAGTAACATTGTGACAGAACTATTGATAAAAGTACACAGAACTAAGACTGGGTTGCGTCAAAAATCTGTCAAATTCCATACTAAAACACCGGTTAACGTTATAGTTACGGTTAAAGTTAGGTGGTGCAACTCAGCCTAAGCTGAGATGGTTCAATCACTATGAGTAAATTTTTATCAAACTTTGTTTGCCGGTGTTTATTGGCGCGGACACTATAAGCAGACACTGCAAAATTATTAACACAATCAACACAAGTGATTTACGTACCCAAGCATTGCCTATATTGAATAGCTTCTTGAAAGATGACACGCAAGTGCACACTACTACACTATACTACACAAATAACCTCATGTCAATTATTAAAATTTACAATTCATAAATTTATAATTTACGAATCCAAATAAATTTATAATTCATGAATAATTGCTCAGATTCGCACGTCCATTTCAGTCGCGTACTACAAATGGTATGATGGCTGCCTGTGCCTGTCTGTATGAGCAAAACTTTTAAATGAGAGCGCAAATCAAAATATGGATGTATTTTGATAATTCATGTTGGGTTTTTCTGACTTTAGACCTTTAGATAAACTATAGCGCGCCAAAACCGCTTGGTTGGGAGCGGAAGAGCGTGCGAGTGTAGCTATATTATCTATCTATATGCTATTATGAACTCAATGCGATACTGGGTCCACAATGAATTCTCAGAAGAGATAAACTTGCTAAGAGTTTTGTTTTGCGCAGGAGACAACGAAGCACTATATGTATTATCTGCACCAATAGGGAATTTGTAAAAAGATAACAGTTAAATTATGTATTTAATTTAGTAACTGTGCGATATGATCACCTCTCGTTGCTCGTATTATTTCAATATGAACTTACATTGTGGGATTTAACTGACATAAGTATGTCATTAAAAAGTTTTTATTTTTTTTCGTGATGATGGTGCTGAAATGTGATTACAGGAACTCCGCAATAAAACGACACAACCCCATCGAGTTTGGGTTCGTTTGATTCGTATTGACGAGTTATTCAATCCTATTTGGTAACCAGAGTCTGATGATGGAGCTGGAATGTGGGCATGGCCATAGGAACTCCGCAGTAAAACGACACAACCCCTTCAAGTTTGGGTTCGTTTGATTCGTATTGACGAGTTCTTCAATCCTATTTGGTAACCAGGGTCTCATGATGGTGCTGGAAGGTGGGCTTGGGCATAGGAACTCCGCAGTAAAACGACACAACCCCATCGAGTTTGGGTTCGTTTGATTCGTATTGACGAGTTCTTCAATCCTATTTGGTAACCAGGGTCTGATGATGGAGCTGGAAGGTGATTACAGGAACTCCGCAGTAAAACGACACAATCCCATCGAATTTGGGCTCGTTTGATTCGTATTGACGAGTTCTTCAATCCTATTTGGTAACCAGGGTCTGATGATGGAGCTGGAAGGTGGGCATGGGCATAGCAACTCTGCAGTAAAACGACACAACCCCATCGAGTTTGGGTTCGTTTGATTCGTATTGACGAGTTCTTCAATCCTATTTGGTAACCAGGGTCTGATGATGGAGCTGGAAGGTGGGCATGGGCATAGCAACTCTGCAGTAAAACGACACAACCCCATTGAGTTTGGGCTCTTTTGATTCGTGTTGATGAGAAATTCAATGCTATTTGGTAACCAGGGTCTGATGATGGTGCTGGAAGGTGGGCATGGGCATAGGAACTCCGCAGTAAAACGACACAACCCCATTGAGTTTGGGCTCTTTTGATTCATATTGACGGATACTTTAATCATATATGGTAGGGTCTGATGATGGAGCTGGAAGGTGGGCATGGGCATAGCTAGGAACTCCGCAGTACAACGATACAACCCCATTGAGTTTGGGCTCTTTTGATTCATATTGACGAGTTCTTCAATCCTATTCGGTAACCAGGGTCTCATGGTGGTGCTGGAAGGTGGGCATGGGCATAGGAACTCCGCAGTAAAACGACACAACCCCATCGAGTTTGGGCTCGTTTGATTCGTATTGACGAGTTCTTAAATCCTATTTGGTAACCAGGGTCTCATGATAGTGCTGGAATGTGGGCATGGCCATAGGAACTCCGCAGTAAAACGAGACAACCCCATCGAGTTTGGGCTCGTTTGATTCGTATTGACGAGTTCTTCAATCCTATTTGGTAACCAGGGTCTGATGATGGAGCTGGAAGGTGATTACAGGAACTCCGCAATAAAACGATACAACCTCATCGAGTTTGGGTTCGTTTGATTCGTATTGACGAGTTATTCAATCCTATTTGGGAAATACAGAGGCCTGAAATACAGGGTGGCCCTAGTTTAGGCTCCAGATCGCACACTCAGAACAACAATTGTTATCTTCCAATTTTTTTTTAATGTACTAGAACAGTCTTTCCCAAAGTAGGCGATAACGCCCCCTTGTGGGTGCTGCAGGATTAAAGGGGGGCGGTAAGAGACCCAGAAAAAAAATCGGGACGTTGTGTAGAGGCTTGGGAGGCGTCATCTACTAGAAGGACTCTTAGACATCGACTGAGCTCGACTCTTGACTACAAAAATGGGGGGCGCTAAAAAATAATTTATTCTCAAAGTGGGCAGTAGACTAAATAAGTTTGGGAACCACTGTACTAAAATGAGAATCTGATAAAATAAATAAAAAAAAATATTATTTATTTTATTATTTGGTAACCAGGGTCTGATGATGGAGCTGGAAGGTGGCCAAAGGAACTCCGCAATAACACTATACATCCCCACCGAGTTTGGGCTCCTTTGATTCGTATTATTGACTAAAGTGTGTTCTATCTATCTATCTTGGACCATGAGATAGCTGGTGCTGGTCTGGCATGGTCCTTGGTGCTGCGCTGCGCGACGTCAAAAACTAAGCATCATCATAATATGAGTAGGTAATATCTATTTCTTTTGTAAGGCATGTTTATTAAAAGCTACAGAAGCGTTTGCAACGTTAATGGACACGCTGTATTGTGTTTTAATACGATTCAGCATGATCGTATATCGTATGCATGCGGACGGATTGCCGAAGCGCATGATATTATTCCCGACACGGATTACATTTAATAAGAGTACTAGTTTCCCGGGAATAAGGTCTAATTTTAAATTATATTTCAGGAGATCTGTTTATAGTTGCAATTGGTGTTTGCAATAACCTTGGCGCCAATTCAAGGAACGCTTGTAAAACATGCAAAGGTGTGTGTATATTTTGTCTTTGAATACTTTAGTCGATTTTTTTATTTATGAGGACAAGCCATCAAGACAAACACGTACCTACTTATACAAGAAAATTAATTATTATAACAATAAGTACTAAATAGATCTAATTGTCTTAATTAGAGGTGATTTTGCGATAAAAGAGAAACTGAAACTGCAAGAAAACTTGCAAAAATTTTAACTACTAGTTGGATCGGAAATTGACACGACTGGAATAGAACCAGGGGACTTACTATTCTGTGCTTTTACGTTCAAGCAAGGTCGTCCAACGTCGTATTGACATATAGGTATCCGAGACGATGCGAAAATAAAAACCAGTATTTTATGAACGAAACGTATTTTTCTTTTTAACGATGTTTTGGGTTAGCTGCCAAGAATGTAAAAAGAAGTCAATGTTTTGAGTTGATACCAGTTTCTTTATAAGTTGTTTATTTGTTTTTTAGTTAATTTAGTGCCTATAAAACATTTTTTAATATTACAAATTGGCACTTCAATGTTATTAACTTAAAACAGTTTGCAAATCATTTCAAACAATTGATAAGAATTGTTATGAATTCATTCTTAGTAAGCATTCTACTAAAGTTTGAGAAAAATATTTAAATATCACCTATTTACAGTTACAAGTAACTTACAACTACTTACTTTTTTAAAATATTTTATAGCATAGAAAAGCACAGTTGATTTAATCACGTACAAGTCTTACAACATGTTCTAACTATCCTCTACCAGTTAAATTATAAAATTAAATAATTTAGGCATAAGATCTGTGAATAATTACCACAGATAACATTTTTGTTTGTTACTTAGTTTTGTACTTCTCTGACCTAAGACTTCATAAGTACCAAAGCAAAATCAAATTCTATCACCTTAAGTTTGCCAAGTAATAATATTAAATAAATTGTTAATCCAATTCAATAATTATGAATTTGACTCAGAATGCACACAACTTGAGTTCATGAATTCCACATTTACCTATGTTTTACAAATAACTGATTGGATTTGAATTTTTTCAAGTAGTTGGTAGTAGTAGTCAAATCTTTGTAAAAATAATTTGTATTACCTAAGTAACTAAAGATAAAGAAAATATCTAAATTATTTTATTTACAATTCAAAGAATTTTATACTAAATTTACAAACCTAATAATAAAAAATATTACTTATGTGTTAGTGCACATAATCAATTTTTATATTAATAAAATATGAATCTAATGTTCAAAGATTATTGGATGATCAAACGAACTTACCAAGTGAAGTTCGATCTAAATTATCCTGTTTTCGCCGAAGAGATTTAAGTTACCGTGTAGTACCCCTGTACGACAAGCCAATCCGCACACAATATTCAGCGCAGTAGTAGTAAAAAACAAAAGAGCGGGCAACCCCACCCCTACCACGCTGTGGGCTCGGTGTCCGAGCGGTCTCATTATATTTAGAGAAGAGATGACATTGACGTTTACCTCCAGGGAAGAAGATATAGAAATCTTCGGGTTGGGAGGGACCTTAAATCTCTTCGGCGAAAACAGGATAATTTAGATCGAACTTCACTTGGTAAGTTCGTTTGATCATTCAATATGTTTCTGCAATTTTAGTATGATATTTTTATTTATTAATAAACAAAGAGACTGAACAAAATTGATGCGTACCTATACTGATTAATGTTATTAACCACATGCAAAGCTTCGTGAATTGCAACAACTATAATTAAATTTATTATCCAAGCTCTAAATAATCGCTACTAAGAGTAACTTATCATAAAAAAAAATTCCAATCGCTCGACGTAATCTTGAAATACTTAAGCCGGCGCAGAACTTCCAGAAGGTCGGGCGACGCCACGGCCACTTTGAACCGTGTTTACTTCTGCAGTTATATTTTATATTTATTCGATTCTAGAATATATTCCCAAAAAGTCTGAAAGGTGTTTTAATTTGTATCACTTGGATATGATTTCTATTAGAAAGTGTTGTGAGTGTGACGCTTGAAGGGAAGGAAGTCAACCTAACCTAACCAACTGCGTATTTCTATACTGTGTAGCTGGAAATTGTGGCGGGAGCTCTTTGACGCGCTGTTTTCGGTGAAGAATTGCGCGCGCAGATTTTGACAGCGCGAAATACCTACTTTAGAAGAAATACCAAGCCTTAAGGACGCGGGCGTTTCTAGTGGCTCGGTCCGCCTGTATCGACAGTTTTATAGCGTCGGAAGGTTCTCAATAACACTCGTAGCTCGTTCGTCGCTGGTGGCGCTCAAAGACCTAGTGAACCGGCTGGGTTCGGAGCAGGCCTGCACCGAACATTACTTCCCCATGCAGGGCGCCGGCACTGACCTCCGTTCCTCCTACCTGCTGAATACTAAGATTGCTAGTGAGTTATTTTTTGTTATAAATGAGACAGCGTTTTGTTGGAGGTAACAATTTTATGCTGTCTCCCGAAGCATCAATTTATACTTAATACTTTATTGCTTCGTAGAATATTATGGAGTTATAAAAACATATTCAGATATTTTCTTAATTTTTTGGAGGAGGACGCAAATTATGTTCTTCTGATCGGCACACTCGTGCACTTCAAGGCGCTGGATCTTGACTCTTAATAAAACTTAATTTTATTCATTTTAGCGCTGATTTTAACATTGTCGGATAACTTTTAACTGAAGGATAAACTTGTCATTTTGACATATTTCCCATACTAAAACTGTCAATGTGCCAAACTTATTCTTCAGTTAAAAGTTATCCGACGATGGTAAAATCAGCCCTTAAGGTTCGGCCAAACCAACGCGATCACACGCGATCAGCCAGCGTGCAGCGATGGCGACCAGACTAAAATGCATTGATCGGCATCGCTGCACGCCGGCTGATCGCGTGTGATCGCGTTGGTTTGGCCGAACCTTTAGTGATAAAAAAACATTCTGTCAGAGAATAACGATAGAATATTTTTCTTATTTTTTGCCTAAGCTAGGACAAAGATTACATGCTCCTGATGCATTTTTTTTACTTAAAATAAAAACATAATTTTAATTATCATTGTGATTACAAAAGTATTTTTTCATTCTTCCAGAGAATATGATGTATGTATTTTAACATTTTTTTACCATTTATTTAATTTTTTTCGCCCAGACGTTGAGGACGCGGACTACGTGCTTCTGATCGGCACGAACGTGCGCTTCGAGGCTCCGCTGCTCAACGCGCGTATCCGCAAGGCATTCATCCACAAGGAGGCCGATGTGGCGCTCATTGGCCCACAGGTCGACCTCACTTACGACTACACGGTAATACTTTTTAACAATATTATAGTCTATCCAATATATAGATGACCCACGCTGAACTGTCCCACCAAACTCAATGACAGGGGGGCGCTACCATCGTTCAACTATTTGGTTTCCAACATGGCAAAAATCTGCACCAGCGATCCGGTAGTGACGGTGGCGCCCCACTGTCAATGTCATCGACAGGACAGTCCAGTATTTTGGAACTATAGCTTGATTAGAATGACGGCTGTCAAACGAATGTGACTAGTGATGGGTATGTTTCGTACAGTTCACATAGATGTATCGATAAGTTTTCGAAAAAATGATATAAAAAAATGCACCCAATTTTTCTTCATATCTTTATTCATAAAAATGACAATTATGATTTAAATTTAAAGACAGTAAAATTTAAAATTCATGTCAAGGGTGTACAACCTAAGTCGTAGTCATTATCATCAGTGTTCTTCAGTGGTTTTTTCCTCTCGCTAGAGGGCGGTGGGCATCTCTTCTAGAGCAACGGTGCTATGAATACCCAAAAAATTACCGGTGATTGATTTCCGATGTTTGATTATTTAAGAATGAAATGTTTTTTGGTTTTTAATAGTGAACATTTAGAAAAACGTATAACTTGACTTAAATATGTTAAAAAATTAGTTAGAAAAAAATTTGTTAAATATGTTAAAAAAGTAGTTTTAATATAATATGACATTTGTCGATATGTCCCAACACTAACCTTTTTTGTAACTCGAGATAACCTTGTAGAGACGTCGTTAATACTCTAGCTTGATTTTTATAATTTCGAATTACTACTTATTGGTGTAATTTAACGCTGCATTTACACGAAATTATCATTTTTATTGGAAGCACTGTCGTCGAAAATATTGTTTGTAGGTCAGACGTGAATTATTTCTTGTCCGCCAATATTTAGCTCTCATTGATCGCTACTACAAAGTTATGTCGTTACTTTTGATGGCAGCTGTCATTCTAATCAAGCTATATTGGATAGACTATAGTGACTAGCTTTTGAAATTTAGTGTCCCAGATCGGCATAAATTATAGCCTATATGTTAATCTGGGTTACAAACAATAATACTGTAATGTTTCAACAAAATCCGTTCAGTAGTTTTTGCGTGAAAGAGTAACAAACATCCAGACATCTAGACATCCAGACATCCAAACTTTCGCATTTATAATATTAGTAGGATTTGTGTAATAAAAATTGATACTCGTGATTGAGCCTCACTTAACGCACTGATCCGCCTGAACTAGTGGGTATGCTAGTTTCCTAAAAAAATTTTTTAGTCCGTCATGTTTAATATCAAAAAATATTGGACACATATATTTTTATTTGTCAATCTAACAAATAATTACATAGTTATGGTGCGTTGAAGTTCCGCACGACGTCACAACGTGCGGCACTTTTATGCAAGCATTGACGTCACGCCTCTTCTTATGAACTTTGGCGCGCTTTATCTCTTTAAATATTCATTAGTTTGAAAAAGTGAAAAATACGAGTAGAGTATTTTTTGATAAGTTAACTGACGGACTAATTAAAACTCTTGCTTTTTGACCCAGGAAACATCCCTATTTAATGTATTTCTCGACGAAAAAAATAATTTAAGTTTTATTAGCATCATGTAAGCTCTGCGCTACGTCCGATCTGTTAAAAATTAAAATACAGATCTAGAAAACTACTACAGAAATCGATCGATGGATATCATATCTAGTGCGTGCAGAACCATACGAATACTACTTTGGAATGTATCATCACGGGTTCGGCTCTTACGTACGTAAGATAACCACGTAATGATGAGTGTTATGCCACGGTAATACTATCTATACAGTATTCCAACTCGGCCATATTTTTTAAATAAATGTCAACAGCCGCGCGGTACGTCACCGTATGACAACATGCGATAGGGCTGTCCACCTGCAGACCCTATTTTCATTACATCTGCCTACTTAAAATTTCTATATAGTTTTGTATTTTGTGATTGTATTTTTTTTATTTTATTTTGACAAACACAATACTATGTGAATGGAATAGGATAAAAATGCATGTTATTTTGTGATTAGTAGATTTAATTAAAAAAATATATTTGTGTTAAGAATTAGGAACAAATCTTATAAATTTGCGACCGTAAAATGTATGTGCCTCATGACTGAGCGTACAAAATGCTTGATTATTGTACAGGGTGTTAGGTAAATGGGTTTATAAGCGGACACTAGCCCATGTTAACATTTTAATTTTCACACAAATCTGATTTTATAAATTTAATTTGTATGAAAATTTGAAAAAAAAAAATGATATCACTAACTTCACCATACCATTACATGCTTAACATGGGCTAGTGTCGGCTTATAAACCCATTTACCTAACACCTTGTATAAATAGGTACTTGTAATTATTTTTATATAAAAAAAGGACTTACTGTTTAAAAAACAACACATCGTCCGTTTATTACTGTGGCACATTCGCGACACCCCCGACTTTTGCATGTCGAGCGCATACCGAGATTTGAATTTCGAAGGAAATCTCGCGTTTCGTCCGTTTATATGAAGTTACAATACTGTATGATAGTTTTACCGTGGTTATGCATATTTCGGATAGTTGGCGTCGAGTTTCATTTCGTTTTTACTACGCCGTACAACGTTATGACACGTTATATTGACTTGTTTTACATACATGAAAACCTTAATTCGAGTGTAATGAATGTTATATTTAAATCATTGATTGGAAACGTTACGCTCAATGGTTTCTACTTCATTCCAGTACGTCGGCGACTCGGCGTCCATAGTCAAGGAGCTAGCCACCGGCACGTCTTCGCACGAGGTCCTCAAGCGCCTGCAGCAGGCCAAGCGTCCCGTGGTGATCCTGGGCGCCGACCAGCTGGCTGGAGACGAGGGAGCGGCGCTGCTGGCGCACACGCAGGAACTCGCGCTCCGGCTGCAGGACCAGCTGCAGGATAAGGACTGGAAGGTATGTGGATAGACCAGGTCGGGATCAATAGACAAAACATCGAGGCAAAGATTAAAAAAAATATTGAGCTAGCTCCTGGGCTATACCATTTAGGACAAACATTTAAAAATGTTAAGCTAGCTCCTGGACTATAAACATTAAAAAATGTAAAGCTAGCTCCTGGACTATAAATACTAAAAACATGTTAAGTTAGCTCCTGGACTATAATCATAGACTTGGGAGTACAAGAATGTACAGTAATTGCTTGCGCCCTTTGCGGCTGTGGACAAGCTGCAGTATAAAGACTGGAAGGTACGTAGATAGGCTAGGTCTGGATCTATAGACAAACCATCGGGGCACGTCTTCGCACGAGGTCACCATGAGGTTCTCTAACGCCTGGAGCAGGCCAAGCGTCCCGTGGTGATCCTGGGCGCCGACCAGCTGGCTGGAGACGAGGGAGCCGCGCTGCTGGCGCACACGCAGGAACTGGCGCTCCGGCTGCAGGACCAGCTGCAGGACAAGGACTGGAAGGTACGTGGCAGGCTGGGTCTGAAGCTGAACCAATGAAAAAATTGAAAAATGTTGAGCTAGCCCCTGGCCTATACCATTTAGAACAAAAAAATGTTAAGCTAGCTCCTGGCCTATACCATTTAGAACAAAAAAATTTTAGGCTAGCTCCTGGACTATAAACATTAAAAAAAGGTTAAGTTAGCTCCTGGACTATATCATACACTTGGGGGTACAAGATCGAAAAAAAGGTTGCAGTAGTGTACTTGCGCTCATACATACGGCGGCGTGCTGCTGGCACTGTGGTTGCAGGACCAACTGCAGGATAAGGACTGGAAGGTATGTGGATAGACCAGGTCGGGATCAAAAGACAAAACATCGGGGCAAAGATTAAAAAAAATATTGAGCTAGCCCCTGGCCTATATCATTTAGCACAAACATTAAAAAATTTAAAGCTAGCTCCTGGAGTATAAATATTAAAAAATGTTAAGTTAGCTCCTGGACTATAAACATTGAAAATATGTTAAGTTAGCTCCTGGACTGTATCATAGACTTGGGAGTACAAGAATGTACAGTAATGTACTACTTGCGCCCTTTGCGGCTGTGGACAAGCTGCAGTATAAAGACTGGAAGGTACATGGAGAGGATAGGTCTGGATCTATAGACAAACCATCGGGGCACGTCTTCGCACGAGGTTACCATGAGGTTCTCTAACGCCTGGAGCAGGCCAAGCGTCCCGTGGTGATCCTGGGCGCCGACCAGCTGGCCGGGGACGAGGGAGCCGCGCTGCTGGCGCACACGCAGGAACTCGCGCTCCGGCTGCAGGACCAGCTGCAGGACAAGGACTGGAAGGTACGTGGACAGGCTGGGTCTGAAGCTAACCAATGAAAAAATTGAAAAATGTTGAGCTAGCCCCTGGCCTATACCATTTAGAACAAAAAAAATGTTAAGCTAGCTCCTCGACTATAAACATTAAAAATATGTTAAGTTAGCTCCTGGACTATATCATAGACTTGGGAGTACAGTAATGTACTACTTGAGCCCTTTGCGGCTGTGGACAAGCTGCAGTATAAGGAATGGAAGGTACATGGAGAGGATAGGTCTGGATCTATAGACAAACCATCGGGGCACGTCTTCGCACGATTTTACCATGAGGTTCTCTAACGCCTGGAGCAGGCCAAGCGTCCCGTGGTGATCCTGGGCGCCGACCAGCTGGCTGGGGACGAGGGAGCCGCGCTGCTGGCGCACACGCAGGAACTCGCGCTCCGGCTGCAGGAACAGCTGCAGGACAAGGACTGGAAGGTACGTGGACAGGCTGGGTCTGAAGCTGAACCAATGAAAAAATTGAAAAATGTTGAGCTAGCTCCTGGACTATAACATTTTGAACAAAAATGTTAAGTTAGCTCCTGGACTATAAACATAAAAAATAAGCACAAAAAAATTGAAAAATGTTGAGCTAGCTCCTGGAGTATAAACATTAAAAAATGTAAAGCTAGCTCCTGGACTATGAATACTAAAAACATGTTAAGTTAGCTCCTGGACTATATCATAGACTTGGGAGTACAGGAATGTACAGTAATGTACTACTTGCGCCCTTTGCGGCTGTGGACAAGCTGCAGTATAAGGACTGGAAGGTACATGGAGAGGCTAGGTCTGGATCTATAGACAAACCATCGGGGCACGTCTTCGCACGAGGTTACCATGAGGTTCTCTAACGCCTGGAGCAGGCCAAGCGTCCCGTGGTGATCCTGGGCGCCGACCAGCTGGCTGGGGACGAGGGAGCGGCGCTGCTGGCGCACACGCAGGAACTCGCGCTCCGGCTGCAGGACCAGCTGCAGGACAAGGACTGGAAGGTACGTGGACAGGCTGGGTCTGAAGCTGAACCAATGAAAAAATTGAAAAATGTTGAGCTAGCCCCTGGCCTATACCATTTAGAACAAAAAATGTTAAGCTAGCCCCTGGCCTATACCATTTAGAATAAAAAAAAAATGTTAAGCTAGCTCCTGGACTATAAACATTAAAAAATGTTAAGTTAGCTCCTGGACTATATCATATACTTGGGGGTACAAGATCGAAAAAAAGGTTGCAGTAGTGTACTTGCGCCCATACATACGGCGCCATGCTGCTGGCCCATCGGCTGCAGGATAAGGACTGGAAGGTATGTAGACAGGCTGGGTCTAAAGCTGGACCAATAGTAACCTTCGGGGAAAAAATTAAAAAAGATGATTAGCTAGCTCCTGGCCTATACTGTAAACTTTAAGGCAAAAGTTTTAAAAATGTTAAGCTAGCTCCTGGCCTGTATCTAAACTTCGAGGTAAAGAGTTAAAAGTATGATAACGCGCTCTTGGCCTAAGGACAGAGCCCTGACCAGAAGTCAGGAGTTGAATAGCGATCACGATCTGCCTCAAATGTAACGTTACACACAGATCCTCGACCATAAATACTGCTTTGTTTGTAGGTTCTGAACGTCCTCCAACGCACGGCTTCTCAAGTAGCCGCCTTGGACATCGGCTACAAACCAGGCGTAGGCGCGGCGCTGGCGGCCGGGCCCAAGGTCGTGTACTTGCTGGGCGCAGACAGCGGCGCCGTCACCAGGGAGGCCTTGCCCGAGGACGTCACCGTCATCTACCAGGGTGAGTGACGTCATCACGCACACAGTGGCTACAGGCTGGGCGAATACGAATGCGAATGTCACAAAATTTCATCCCTATTTTGTGCTCTGTACCAATCGCAATTTTATTGATATAGTCTGGTCTGCGAGCACGTAAAATTTTGTCCAATGACCCCAAGCTACCCATCCTTATCGCTCGCGCGTAATTATATTGCTATCGCGACTGTGCGACGGGCGCCCACAGTGAGTGTGCGAGCGCGACAGCAACATAATTAAACGCGAGTGATAAGGATGGGTAGCTTGGGGTCATCGGACAAAATTCTACGTGCTCACAGACCGGGCTTTAGACAGATAGGTCATTAGGTACATTCAAGTTCGATTTGCGTGTTGTTTTTACCCTATTTGATTTTTTTTGTTGAAAATTATAGTGGTTTAAAATTTTTACATGTATGTATATTTTGGGGTTGAATAAAGAAGCTTTCATTCAAGATATACGTGGAGCTTGTAGTCAGTAAGATTCCAGTGCCCGTTTTTCACCATCAATCCCTAATTTTTAAGTCGCCCCTATGTAAACAAAATTCCTGTTATTTGTTACTATAGGGGTCACTTAAAAATTAGGGATTGATGGTGAAAACAGGCACAGGTCACTGCCGAACACTTTTATGTGCAACCTACTCGCACTTGGCCAGTTTTCAATTTGCCTGTTCCTTCGCCAGGCCACCACGGCGACGCGGGCGCGTCAATAGCTGATATCGTGCTGCCGGGCGCGGCCTACACCGAGAAGCGCGCCACCTACGTCAACGCAGAGGGCCGCGCACAGCAGGCGCTTGTGTGTGTGACCCCGCCAGGCAAGGCGCGCGAGGACTGGAAGATTATACGGTATGTCGTCGGAATAAGGCTTAGTTTGCTATGACAGTGCCGTCGTAAAGGCCTATTCAAACCTGAGCGATATTCGCTGCCGCTGTGGGTAGAGGTACATAGGTAAAGCCTGGCCCGTGAGCACGTAGAATTTTGTCCAATGACCCCAAGCTACCCATCCTTATCGCTCGCGCGTAACTATGTTGATGTCGCGCTCGCACACTCACTGCGGGCGCGCGTCGTACAGTCGCGACAGCAATATAATTACGCGCGAGTGATTATGATGGGTAGCTTGGGGTCATTGGACAAAATTCTACGTGCTCACGGACCAGGCTTTAGACGGTAGCGAATACCGCTTAGGTCTGAACAGTATTATTACCGCATACCCACTGGGTTTTCTCTGCTGCAGACGGTAGCGAATACCGCTTAGGTCTGAATAGGCCTTAATAAGTGCTAGTTTGCAACAATCATTAGGGCTGTCAGCTGCACGAGACGTCGTTAATCGTAATGATTATAAATAATGCACCGTGCTGCCTTGTCATAAAGGCTCAAAAGACAAATTTAATAAACGCCAAGGGCCGCGCGCAGCAGGCGCTCGTGTGCGTCACCCCGCCCGGCAAGGCGCGCGAGGACTGGAAGATTATACGGTATGTGGTCGGAATAAGGGCTATTTTGCTTTGTACTTAGTGCTAAAGTCTGTTCGCCGAGAGTTGATAAATATTATGAAATGTCTTGCTATAGCGACTGTCGCTTAATTATCGCATTCTGTATGGCGGGCGTCGTTTGTCACAACGCGCACTGAGTACCATGGTACGAGCCACGCAGCTGTCGTCAAGCGCCCCGGCCGGCGGGCGGCGGCGGCCACAGCGTGACCACTTTTAGTAGATTTCTACTTTTTTGGTAGATTTGAGGCAAAGAGAACGATGATTTAGTAGTGCGAAATCGTTTAGTAGATTTTGGTAGATAATTGGTATTTTTAGAACATTCTTATAAATGGTAGTCCAAAATTAAATTGTAACCGAGCCGAGAATCCAGGCCAAATAATCTACCAACTTTTTCATTATATCGACAAAAATAATTAGCGGGCCGCAATTTATAATGAGTTTAGAACCTCTGATATTTAATTTTTTTTTATCAACTCTCGGCGAACAGACTTTAGTTTGCAACAAACATTAGGGCTGTCAGCTGTACGAGACGTGTCGTTAATCGTAATGATATGAACCGTGCTGCCTGGTCATAAAGGCTCAAAAGAAAAATTGAATAAACGCCGAGGGCCGCGCGCAGCAGGCGCTCGTCTGCGTCACGCCGCCCGGCAAGGCGCGCGAGGACTGGAAGATTATACGGTAGGTGGTTGGAATAAGGGTTAGTTTGCTTTGTGCTTAGTGCTAGTTTCCAACAAAAATGTGCGCTGTCAGTTGTGCGAAACGTGTCGTTTCACAGTGATGAATAATAATGCACCGTGCTGCCTTGGTATAAGGTCGAAAACCAAAGAAATGTGATGAAAGTGGAAGGCCGCAGAGCGGGCGCCCGGCAAGGCGTGCGAGGACTGGAAGATTATACGGTATGTGCTTGGAATAAGGGTTAGTTTGCTATGACAGTGCCGTTGTCATAAGTGTTATTTTGCAACAAAAATGTGAACTGTCGGTTGTACGAGACGTGTGCTGTTTTCATTGTAATGAACTGTGCTGCCTTGCTTGTGTGCGTTACGCTGGCCGCCAGGCAAAGCGCGCGAGGACTGGAAGATTATACGGTATGTGCTTGGAATAAGGCTTAGTTTGCTATGACAGTGCCGTCGTAAAGGCCTATTCAAACCTGAGCTATATTCGCTGCCGCTGTGGGTAGAGGTACATAGGTAAAGCCTGGTCCGTGAGCACGTAGAACTTTGTCCAATGACCCCAAGCTACCTATCCTTATCGCTCGCGCGTAACTATGTTGGTGTCGCGCTCGCACACTCACTGCGGGCGCGCGTCGTACAGTCGCGACAGCAATATAATTACGCGCGAGTGATAAGCGATGGGTAGCTTGGGGTCATTGGACAAAATTCTACGTGCTCACGGACCAGGCTTTAGACGGTAGCGAATACCGCTTAGGTCTGAACAGTATTATTACCGCATACCCACTGGGTTTTCTCTGCCGCAGACGGTAGCGAATACCGCTTAGGTCTGAATAGGCCTTAATAAGTGCTAGTTTGCAACAAACATTAGGGCTGTCAGCTGTACGAAACGTGTCATTAATTGTAATGATTTGAATGATGAACCGTGTTGCCTTGTCATAAAGGCTCAAAAGACAAATTTAATAAACGCCAAGGGCCGCGCCCGGCAAGGCGCGCGAGGACTGGAAGATTATACGGTATGTAGTTGGAATAAGGGCTAGTTTGCTTTGTACTTAGTGCAACAAAAATGTGCGAGACGTGTCGTTTCATCGTAATGAATAATAATGCACCGTGCTGCCTTAGTATAAGGTCGAAAATCAAAGATAAATGTGATAAAAGCGGAGGGCGCGAGAAATGGAAGATCATACGGTATGTAGTTGGAATAAGGACTAGTTTGCTTTGTACTTAGTGCTTGTTTGTAACAAAACGTGTGTTGTACGGGATACATTGTATACAAGATTGAAAGATCACACGGTCTTTGCTAGTTTGCTACAAAGATGTGTGCAGCAAGCGCTCCTTGTGTGGGTCAAGCTGCCCGGCAAGGCGTGCGACGACTAAAAGATCATCCAGTATGCCGTTGTAATAAAAGCTATATTGCAATGAATACTTCGTCATCATAAGTGTTAGTTTGCAACGAAGATGTGCACAGTAGGCGTTCATGTGTGTGAGTCCTGGTGACCTGGCAAAGCGTGCGAACATTAGAAGACATTCGGTATGCTACCGTGATAAGTGCTAGTTTTGCAACAAAAAGTTCATTTTTGTTGCCGTCGGCTTTACGAGACGAGATCCTAGACCCCTATCTCTTGATTATCATAAATTAAGGCTGAGTTGCACCATTTAACTTTAACTTTGACAAACGTCAAAAAACTGTCAAACTCCATACAAAAAGCACTAGTTATTGTCATTGTAAAGGTTAAAATAAGGTGGTGCAACTCAGCCTAATTGTCACATTTGTTTGTCCCCAGAGCTCTATCCGAAGTGGTTGGTGCTGGTCTACCTTACGACACGCTGGACGAGGTGCGCGACCGCCTGAGCCAGGTCAGCCCGGCGCTCGTAGCCTACGGCGACGTGCAGCCCAACAACTACTTCGCACAGGCGCGGGCTCTCGCACAGGTACATAAATTTTCTTTATTAAGCTAAAGCCCGGTCTGTGAGCACGAAGAATTTTGTCCAATGACCCCAAGCTACCCATCCTTATCGCTCGCGCGTAATTATATTGCTGTCGCGACTGTGCGACGCGCGCCCGCAGTGAGTGTGCGAGCGCGACAGCGAATAATTACGCGCGAGCGATAAGGATGAGTGCTTGGAGCTTGGGGTCATTGGACAAAATTCTATGTGCTCACAGACCAAACTATAGTCGTTTTGAACCAAAAGACGTCCACTGCAGGACAAAGGATTTGCACGTCATGGTCATGCGCTGCCTGCGTCCAGATGCTTCTTGCGACCTTCACTAGATGTCCAACAAGTGAAAGGACTGCCTTTTACAGTATCGGAAACTATTTTGCCGTTTGTCGTCAACGAAGATCGAACTAGCATTCGGACTCGAGTCTTGAATTGGTAGTCCAATGTTAACTACTTTGGACTGCCAATCACTACGGAATATGCACGATTATAAAATCAAAATCAAAATTATCTTTATTTGTGTAGACTAATTAAATTAGTATTTACAAATCGACGAATGCTCAAAGAGCCTATACATGTCTCATTCTTTTTTTGCCCTTCCAGAATATTATTACTAATTTATACAGAATCTGTGCATGCTTTTGTAAAGTTTTAATATTGTTTCGTAATACGGGCCTTAGTATTGATGTTGTCAATCAATGCTTTTTGATTCCTAAGCCTAAAGTACAATATTAAAATTTCAATTCATATGTAACTCATAAAAATGTCGCGTTGATATGGAGACCAGTGTTTGTTTCTCTATTTTACTTGCAATATTCATGTAGTTAAAAGGTAGGTATATTGTCGGACAACACTATCACTGATAACACTGCACAACAGCATTTCTGATGATTGGGTTATGTTACATGATATTAGTCCAATTTTTAATGACGATTTCAAATCTGTGATTGAAATGTCTGTATAAGCTCTGGTTAAAAAAATATGACAATTGGGTCTTTTTGAAATAAAACACCCTTTTTTTAGAGATGATCCTATTTTATGAAGTTGTTAAGTTGAAAAAACTTTCTTTTATTTGACTTCCTTGCTGAAGCTGAAGGCAGACAGCTCTTCTGAATGCTTCAACAGCAGTCAGCCATCATGTGTGCATTCCAGTGGCCCTGATAGCGTCCCTCTATCGTACGAAGGCCCTGGTGGATTTGCTCGCCATGTTCTTCACTTAGATTCTTAAGAGTTGTGATAAAATTGTTCAGGTGATTGCGAAGAGAGTGTAGTTTGATGTTTCTATTACATCCAACCAAAAAAACATGTTTGTAAGTGACTCATACGTTGTTCGATGTGTAAGAATAGTATGATTTTTTCGGATTTTCCAAAAAAAAAAAATTAAAGTGCCAAAATAACTCATTCCATGTCTTTACTGAAGACTTGAAGATCCTAGATCTCTGAAAAGATCGTTTAAACCATCTTGGCTACATGGTTTTGAAATTTTCGGGTCACATTCAAAGTCTCTACCACACTGCCAGTTTTCGCCTCAAAAATACTCAAAATCCTCCTGTGAAGTATCAGCATGAGGTCCAGGTGACTTCTTAGGGTTGAAAAGACGTCTACATGCCAAACGTATGCAAGGAATTACCATTTAGTTCAATTTTTTTTTGGTTAATACCATTTCTGTTCAAAAATAAAAATAACAGTCGTCGCTATGGTTCAAGGGTTCCATTCAGATCATAGTGGTTTCGTACCTAAATCTACACATATTCTTATTTGTTCACAAACGTAAAAACTCAACGCATCTTTTCCACGCCTTTTGCGGAATTCAAAGCTTATCTTTCATTTCCACTGGGTCCCCAAACTAATTTTTGTAAGCCAATTTTACGAACTTTGTCACATTTAAACGGATTTTTTAAACATATCCTCTCCGCAAATGAAACAAAATTGATTTAGATCATCCACACAAACACTTCTTAATGCTACCATATTAAATTATACAAAGAAAACATAGTATTTTTTGAACTGTCGGCGAATTAAGACTGAAATTTAGCAATTTTTGAGTGGAAGCTATAACACATAAACAAGAGCTGCTACGAAAAAATGGACGGCAGATTCAGCGACGTCAAATTAGTAAACATCATGTAATGAAAGTCAATCATCAGCCAAAAGTTGCAATTTTGTTGTGCAGTGTAATCAAGAGACTAACGAAACAAAAACTAACACGGTCCACGCAATCGATGCGTGGGAGGTGTACACATAAAAAACAATTAAAAAACGAAAAAAGTCCCGGTTCTGATGGTATCAGTAATGAAGCTTAAAAAATTGGAGCACATTAAAAAGGCTTTATCTATACTTATAATAAATCTGTAGAGAGGTCAATTCTGTACATTAAATATATCTTCAAAATAACTATCAGGGGGTGATTAGTGATCGATACTGATGCCAAAAATGCAATCAGAAAAATTTTTGTCTGTCTGTCTGTCTGTCTGTCTGTCCGTCTGTATGTTCCTTATAGAAACAAAAACTACTCGACGGATTTTAACGAAACTTGGTACAATTATTCTTCATACTCCTGGGCAGGTTATAGAATACTTAGGAGTTCCCACGGGAACGGGAGTTAGCGGAAAAATCCTTTTGTATGAAAAATCTAAACCGCTTAAGTTAGACGCTTGAAATTTGGCATGCAGGTATCTTAGTAAACTTAAAGCTTAGTTACAACAGGATATTGCAAAATACCAACGGTAACGGGAGTTAGCGGGAAAAAACATTTGTATGAAAAAATCTAAACCGCTTAAATTAGACACTTGAAATTTGGCATGCAGATATCTTAGTAAACTTAAAGCTTAGTTACAACAGGATATTGCAAAATTCCCACGGGAACGGGAGTTAGCGGGAAAAAACATTTGTATGAAAAAATCTAAGCCGCGTAAGATAAATGAAGAGGGTAAACGGGATCCACGCGTACGAAGTCGCGGGCGGCCGCTAGTTATTAATATATTATTTTATATATTGTCACAGAGCCTCCAGAAGCCCGTGTCCGGCAAGCTGACTGTCCAGCTGAAGGAGTTAGAAGACTTCTTCATGACGGACGCCATCAGCCGCGCCTCGCCCACTATGGCCAAGTGCGTGGCCGCCGTACGCAAGCAGAAGACCTCGCCCTACTAAGCGGATAGTTGGGGACCACGCCTACTCATTCGTATGACCGGGATCGTAAATTCACAATACTGTAATGCTGGTGGATTTTTTTAAGAAGACAGATTGTAGTCGTTGGCACGTTAGCGAAATGGACTAGCCTCGATTGGTTATGAACTTTATATTAAAAATCGTAAAGTTCAAAATCCGTTGGGAGGGTATTTATTTTTGTGCTGGTTTGAGAAACGAGTTAAATTCAGTTGTTTGCTACTGTTGCAACTGGTATACGAGATTTCAGTGTTGCTCTCAGTTTGCATGATGTCACAGATGCGTGACGATGTGCATAGTCTAAACTTTTTCTTATTCTCTGCATTATGACCAGTGAAAGTCACAAAAGCGTTTCATAATTTGTTAAAGAACATTGCGATTATATCACCGCTTGCGTAAATTAGATGCCTTCAAATCTCGGTCAGTGACGGTAAATTGATTCAATAACAGTTGGCATGGTCCCCGTAGGTTGCACGTCACCAGCAACGGTGCTTGATGTTATGTTGAATTGGGTACACGAATGCTGTAGCAGCAATAATGTATTTAACTCAATATAATAATACTGTAATGCAAAAAATCTACCTAAAAGTTACAGTATTCGTGTCTCCAAATTCTAAAAGATTATCTTAAGTAATTCCTGGTTACTTTTGTTTGAGTGCCATCAAATACTTATATTTTATTCGAAAAATGCTTACGTAATTTATTCCACAACACTGTATTTTGTGGCACTCAAACAACTGTGGGCATTTTTAGGTAATTATTAAAATTCTATTACGCCTTTCTGCAATCATTTTTACGAAGAAAATACTACAGAAATGCACTTCGTACAGTCTTTTGGATGACATCTGACTGTACTGTACATTGTGATCAAGTATTTATTTTGTTATTTAATAATAAGCGTAATGTTGCAAACTTTCCGATATTAAATTAATCAAATGATGATAATAATAATGTAGAAATGGGACGCAGCCGGAACGTAAGAGAAAGGAATTTTGGTTGTAAGGACAAAGTTTTGTATATAGTAAACGTTTGTAGTATACAAATAAATGTAGTATAATGATTGTCGAAATACTTGTTTTATTTTCTCATTTGGTAAAAATATCAGTAATTTGGGACTGGCAATGTAGTGGCATCCAAACCATTCTTCTTCCTGTATTCCTGAAATGTAATGTATGAGGGATAAAAGTCTGTATGGAGAACCTATCATAACTGATGTTAGCCTATGAATTCTTTGCTTTTGAAGATTGTTGGACTTTCGTGCGGAAAAGACTGAGACAGACCGGAATATTGCGACCATGGCGTAATGCACTACGGTTATACAAGCTAATAACGCATGTTTATGGACTCTGTAGCAATATGGAACAACTTACGTCGACGACTTTCCTTGCGAAGTGCTTGTACTGCACGTCTTCCAGGACTTTGCTAGCTTGCTGTGCGAACTGCGCGTGAGTGGCCGCCAGCCCGCTCCACGGAGGAGGCGCCCTTTTGCGCGCTTCGTATTGCTTGCGCAGCTTCTTAGCGGGCGCTAAGAAGTTTAATGGCTGCTTATCTGGTAAATAAGTAGTAATATGTAGTAAATAAGTAATACTCGAAACCAAATCTCTTTAGGGACACATTGGCTAAATCTTGGTTCGACGGTTCATCAGCTGTTTAATGTAGGTGTAGATCTTAACTCTCTCATGTACCTAAGCGTATCCAAAACATGTAAATGGTGTATAGTTTCTTAAGCAATGGTTTTTATATTGTTTCACTGTAGGTAGGTATGTATTCCGAACAAAATACAAAAAAAAAATATAACTTTTAATACTAGTACATAGTATGGGAGATTGCAGGTAAGGTTTTTGAGATAGAGTTTTTGTTGAGTTGGTACAAGACGGTTCTGAAAGAACATGGGGCTCATTCGTTTGTAGCCTGAATCCTCTGGCCCTAGATAGATGTCACCTCTTAAGGCGGATTCGCCATAGTAAATACAGTATATTTACCGCGGGTAATGTTCTGATCCGAAAAACTACCAATTCACTTTGATCCCAGCTACTGACTTCCACCATCGCACCGTCACATCTCTCTTTGATACTTACCTGCTATGGCACTACTCGTGTTCTTCATGCGGCTGTAATTCGACTTGGGTAGAATGCTCTGTCTATGTCCGCAATTAAACTTCTTTGTGTAAAGTCTTGATTGTTCCATCTTCTCCAATTCCTTTTTATTGTGCTCAGATATCAAGTGACGTTTTTCCTTTTCTAAGTTCTTCATCAATATCGCTTGATGGTCATCTTTTGATGTCCTGGTTCAGAAGTTTCATCATAAGTAAACATACTTGTTAAAAATAAATTTTGAAACACTTGTGAACTTGTATGACTTTACATTACCTCACTTCTAATTTCTTTATTCCTGCTTCGACAAATTCATTATAGCGTGCTTGATCTGTTTCTTGTACCTTCTTAACAATTTCGTAATTTCGTTTGTATTGTTCTGTGTTATTTCTGTCATGATGCATCTGTTGTAAAACTACAATTTTAAATATATAATTCATTTCATCTCATAATTTATTGATGATTTTAATTTTACTTACGTCTTTCATCACTTGCCGAATTTTACAATTTCTCTTATCAAGTTCTTTGCGCTGTTCGTTAGCTATTTCCTCTGCTATCTTTTCTCTCGCTAACTTGCGTTGTCTTGCAATTTCCTGTTCTTTTTCGTAGAGTTCAACATCTTTTCTCAATTGCTTTTCATATTCTTTCTAGAAAATTATAATTTATAACAATATTCTTAAGAAATTTTACCTACATTGTATCAGGGATTTTGGTTCCCCATCTCCAAGCAAGCTCTGGATTGGAACCCCCAAGGAAAACGCAAACGTGGTCGCCCCAAGCAAACTTGGCGGCGCACTGTAGCAGACGAAGAAAATCGGCAAGACTTGGAGTAACGCTCAAGACCGAACGCGATGGAAGACTGATCTAGGAATATAGGACCCTAACTCAAGTAAGTCAAGGGATTTTGGTTCTTCTTCTATTTTTTGTGCGTATTTATTTTATATTCACAAGTCTTACTTCCTGACGTGATTCGAGGTCCAACAGTTCTTGCATGAGTCGTGCGTTTTCACGTTCAAGCACTTCCTGTTTTTTCTTTTTTTCAATTCCTTTACTCAATTTCATCTCGTAACTGAAACATTTAATTTTATTTATATCTTTTTTATGTAAATTTATATTATTCACAATAAAATATTCATAATGGTTTGCCCAACTTTATGTGTATTTATGGAAACTTAATTGGTTTATGTGTTTTTTTACTGCACCTAAGTAAGTTAAAATATATTGTAACTGTATGTTTCCCAAAAATAACCCCTAAAGCAAAAATTACGAAGCAAGCACTAACATGGATTTATTTATTTTGGATATATCTATCTCCTCGTTCCTTTTCTTCTGTTTATCTTCTTTTTCATGTCCTAAATCGAAACGGTTTTCTAATTTAGAAAACGCTTCTTTTTCATGCTCTTCCCTTTGCTGTTTTAATTCTTTTTGTAACTCAATTTGACGATCTCTTTCTTCCAAAGTTTTTGACTCAAGAAATGCACTGAAAATCAGTAAGATTTTTTAGACATGGGATACGAAACGAATGTAAATAAAACGTTAGCGAAACAGGTAACAACAAAATGGCAAATGTAGGAAAAAAAAATTTTAAGATTTTAAACCTTAACAACTGCTTTCCATAACAACTGTCCTCAAAAATAAGTTGCTTGGCGTTTTTTAAAGCTTCTTTAGTTCCTTCTTTCTTCTTTTCGTGGAGAAAAGCCTTCACCAAAGCTATTTCTTCTTTGTGGTGCTTTTCCTTGTCTTTCTTAACTTGCTCTACATGTCCCTGAAATAAAAAATATTTTATGCCGACGATATCAAACGAGATTTACTTCACGGTTATATGAAAGAGGATTATGTGCCCCATAAAGTACGTACCTAATTAGAATAATAATAATTTAACTTAATAATAATAGTCATATGGCTAACCTGTACTGTGTCTGGCCACGTTTTAATCCAGGCTTGTGAAATATCTACTAGCTTTTTGAAATACGCCTCTCGTTGTTCGGACAGTTTAATTGAGTCGTCCTTTTTACGATGCAGCCTGTCCCATTCGCTTTTATGAAGCACAATATATGATTTTCGTCTCATTTTATGTCCCGTTTAATGATATTTAGGATTGTACAAATGTTTAAATAAATCTATGGAGCTATGCATGTTAGTTACGTCACGATTAGCGATTAGACGTCTTTTCAAAGAAGACATGACGTCTTTTTGGTTTTAGGGGCCTCTTGATCCGCAAGTGCTAGGTTCAGTCCCCAGGTGGGTCACACTCAATAAAGTCTGACACGAGCTGTGACTTTAGACTTCCTTACAGTATAGCTTATGTACCCACTAATAACATTACACGTCCAAATAATGTTATTGTTCAGTAAAAGTTGTGTTTATTAGTGCTTGAAACCCACAGTTATAATATAGGTACATCATACATAGTTACCATAGAATTGAAGTTATTCCAACTTTGTTGGCTTGAAGCTCTAAATGAAGTTGCCGTTTGAAATGTCTCGTTTCTTTAGACTTTTGCCATTCGTTTTAATAGCGAAGTGTTCCTTTAATCTCAAGTCCCAGGAGAAACTAATGATTGCTTATTAGCGTCGCTTCCGTTTATTAACGAAGCAGTGTCAGTAAGTGGACGTTATTTCGGGAGGAAATGCAGCAATTAGAGGAATAAGCTTCGCAGCCGCTGGGAAATTGGGCGAAGCGTGGATGCAGACGTTTTCAGGCGTTGTGTTTTACTCGGTACTTACTTAGTGTTTTACTGTCGCATAGATTTATACCTTGCGATAATCAGTCTCATTTTTGCCGATAGGTGCCGATAGCTTATATTTATTTGACTTATCTATACAGCTCTAATACAATAGAATGCAAGTTTTTCCGACCCGTACAACTTGAAAATCATTCCTCAGACACTTTTTAGTGGTTTTAAAGAAAATAATAATGTACTTATAAGTTATAGATAACCACTTAAAATCTTTGAAAAACTTAAAATGTAGAATAAAAAATTAATATTTTAGAGGAGTTTATACCAAAAGTTTACATACTTTTTACTGTTGTTAAGTGTTATTATTTCAGTTAACAATCACATGGATCAACTGAACCTACCAAGCTGCTGCTGAAAATTTAATGAGCTACGCAATTTGGTCTTATTGATTCCATCACTCTCGATAAAATGCGAGGAATATGTATCGGTACAAAATTACAATGCAATTTGTCTTTCTGAACATGGCGGCGCGGCTTCGTGAGGTTCCATCTGTCAATGTCGCCGCAGCTTTGTTTGTTGTATATTTTTGCATAAAAATAAGTGGAAAACGCCGCGGAAAATATTAAGCGGCGCGAAGGAAATGCTTTACATGGCGATCGTACAAAGTTGCTTAATGGATAGGAAACGATGATGTATGAGATGTGTGTGGTATTTGCTTTTGGTTGAGATTTATGATATTAATTGCAAGTAAAAAGAGGCTCTATTTATAGATTAAAAATACATACTGTTAAGTTCACGTCACTTCATCTGATTCATAATCACGATTATTAGCTGATAGTCTCGCTGTTACGGTGGTGACACTACCAAATACAAATAGTATGCTTTAGCCTCTACCATTTACTACGTGGCAAACGAACTCAGCAATGTTTCAATATTCTAATTGCTTTGAACTCTGCAAACTAATATTTTATTTATTAAATAAAAGACAAAGTTCCTTATTTAAAAGTATAGTGCTGTACCCTTTTATAAATCTGTTTTCATAGGCGCGGCAATTTTTGCGCGGTCACGTGCTGAATTCCGTAGAGAGCTTTTAACGCGATAACGATTCACAAAAATATCGTTTATGGAAAAGCTAATAGGTTATGGAAAAGCATTCACACCACTAACATAGGGCACCAGTCAGTGACATTATACTTCTTAGTACAAACTATTACTAGTCCATAAAAATCCAGATACATTTTCAGTGTCCTTTCGCTGTTTTCTTCTCACTATAGGATAAAGCAAATAAATTATGAAAATCCCCCTGAAAAAATACCTATATGGCGGTAGTTTCAGATTTTCAAACGAGATTTCTAACCGCCGCAGCCTACCTAGGCAGGTAACTAGCTCTCTCGAGTGTATCGGAACTATTTCAATCGGAAAGGGATCCACCTTCATTTATAACTCCACTTGCGGCATGTAAATTTATTCATGAAAATGTATTGCTATGCATTGATATATGTATGGCGATCCGCGCCGGTGAGGAAACTAAAACTAGGTGTTCGTATCATTTTAAATCGGTTTGGCTATCGGGATATGTGTGGTTGATAAAGCGATTGAACAAAATCGCGTATTGACAGAAAAAATTGGGCATAAGAAAATAAGAAATGCTACAAAGTTTTACAATAACTTTTTACATTACTTACACTTAACCGACGGAATAATTGGGAGTTATGGTCATGAAAGTAAAGTAAGTAGGTACCTATTCCTTTTAGGACGTATTTTTCACTTACGTTAGACATAAATCTTCAAATATTTTTTAGCTAAAAAACTTTGTTTTGTTCCCATAAAGTTAATATTAATATTCCTTCCGCTAGGTATATTAACTTTATGTTTGGTCCCCAATTTGGCGAAAACTTATTCTGAAACACACGTTGTTGCAGAAGTGCGGAGCTTAGTTATATTAAATTATTTATACCTGCTCTCTATTAACCTGTAATAAATCCTGAAAGCTCGATCTACATATATTCTGCAAAGTCGACTGTTTTACTACCGATAGCCCGTGAGAGAACTAGCTATCTCCTTATGTACTTTAGTCGACTTTTTATTAGATAGTTGCAGAGGATAGAGTCGCCATTTGCATCTTGTTCTCGGCCCTTCATCGCCTCGGAGCGTGTCTCGGATTATCCGCCCTCGACTCGAGTGGCTGCGCTGGTGACGGCGTACAGCGTCCCACGGTCCACTCGACTTCAGGTAGCTGTGCGCCATGTGCTCTGGATTACTAATCTGGCGTTGTATGTGGTCAATAACATCAATTTGAAAGGGAATAAGCTAAGATAAAAACAAAATAATTTGTTAATCAGAACAAATTCATTGGGTATACCATCTTTTAAGTTGGACTGGTTTTGTTTTCATCTGACTCTATATTATTGTAGGGATTTCAGTGCTTACATAAGTCCTTTGTTGTTTATTAGTTGGTATAACTTTATCTTAGAGTAGGCGCACACCGTTGATTTTTCGTCGGCCGATAGTTTAGTCGGGCAGTTGATCAAATCCCACCACCACCCATGGCCATACCAACCTCGCGGTTATTGTGGCCGAATCTTGAGAGATGCGCGCGGAATTGCGGCTGCCTAGGGCAGATTGCACCCCACCGCGCGGCGTCTTTCCGTTCTATACATGGCCAGAACGCACCCATAGGAAACTGCTCGTGTATATTTTGGAGTGTCTCTTTGTAAGTCGGTCACTACAAACTATACACGAATTTTGCGTACTGATCGTGTATAGTTTGTGTCGTGGATGGATTCCGTCTTCGCTCCAAACTATACTACACCACTTACAGTTGACTAGAGTGTGTTTAGTTTATTTGATTTAATAAAATATGGAATTATATTTAAAATTATTACATTTATTAGATATTATGCTCGTGCTTTGTCCTCGAGATTAGAAATAAGAACTACCTATGTAGATCACGTACGGTGATGCCATTTTTAAATTCATTAATTTTTACATAAAATATTATTATTTTACTGAATCTAACTACATATTATTATAATAAATCTAGATTTATAACACTAATGTAAGTGGTTTCTGAAATTAAATTGATTAGGTAGATTTCAAATTAAATAACAATTATTTATTAGTGAGAGTGAATGAAGAAAGTTAAACGTGCATTATTAACTAAAATTGTCGACCGTTCGGTGTAGTGGTTCGAAACGGATAACTGTTCCGGAGGTAGCGGGTTCGATTCCCGCACAGTACAAACATTAATTTGTGTGCATGAACATATTTTGATATTTGTTTGTATTGGACTGGGTGTCTTCTATGTATAATAAGTATGTATTTACAAAAAAAGTATTTAAGTATGTTTATATCCGTTATCTAGTACCCATAGTACAAGCTNTGATATTTGTTTGTATTGGACTGGGTGTCTTCTATGTATAATAAGTATGTATTTACAAAAAAAGTATTTAAGTATGTTTATATCCGTTATCTAGTGCCCATAGTACAAGCTTTGCTTAGTTTGGGACTAGAAGGGCAGTGTAAAATGTCCAGGGATATTCATTTTTATTTATAAGCTTTTATCTCAAGAACGAAAATCATTTTCACATACATAATTCTTAATTTCAGAGTTATTCAGCCCCAAAACAAATATATTTTCTATGGCAGAATATGAAACACCAAAAAGCTCTTTATCAAAACAATGGCACGTGTCGAAATTGATTCAATGTTTAAAGTAGACACGCAGTTATGAATTAATATGTAATAGAAAGAGAGGTAAATAAGTCAAAATGACGAGCATGCAACTAAGTACTCGCGTATACATTGTAATCGCGAACTTATTACAATACATACATGATTAGTCCGTATGCGTACTGACGATGTATATTTTGGAGTAAGATAATTGACCTAAGTCACTACAAAGTATACGCGAGCAGTACGCAGCGTATGCGTACTGGTCGTGTATAGTTTGGAGGAGCTTAGTAAAAAAAGTCACATCCAAACTATACTCGATTAGTTTCACACGCTTGCGTTCTGGCTATTTATAGAATGGAAAGACGCCACCGCGCGCAATGCTTGACTCTCTACAAGTTCTTTATTCTTCGTCCATTTGTCCCTTTGCCACTCTCCCCCTTCTGGGGCATGGACTCTACTCAGACGTTGGCACCATCCGGTGCCTGGCCGCTAGGCGTCTGGCTGTTCCGCAGTATGGGCAGTTGATCAGTATGGGCATGTATGGGAGTGCGCACACTACGCCGATTCGATTTGGCCGATTCTTCATACAAATTAAAATCGGGCACAACTATCGGCCAACTAAAAATCAACGGTGTGCGCCTACTCTTATTTTAGATTAATTTCGGTATGATAGATGTCATGTATTTCTTCAAATCAATAAAAGTATCAAGTTAGAGCTACTGAATAGTAAGAGATTATTGCCCATGTAATACCTACTTATCTTTCTGATTTTCAGTTCTGAAGTCCACCCACCGTAAAGAATCCATAAAGAAAACAATTCTAACTAAAAGAAAATAAAAGGGAATACCATCAGGCCGCCCGAGGACAAATTTAACGGGGGTCTAAATATGCCTGAAGCATGTCCGCGTTGATACCCATTACGAGGGGGCCATAAATCATGGCGCGTTTACAGTGCGTCAACTGCTTTCAGACTCCGAATTGCTGAAGGCGAAAGTAAACTTAACTTAAACAAGTTTTAATATATTAAACATAATGATGTCAATGAAGAGGAATACTGCATTAGGTAAGTACATAAGTAGAGTAAGTACATAATTAAAAGACGCCCGAGACTTCACGTGACGTTTCAGTTTTGATTTTTAAAGATGTAAATTGCAGGTTTGCTTAAGATTAATCCTAGAAACAAATTTTATTTTATTAATTGTAGGTGATGAAAATAAAGGGAAAGCAATGTAAACATCGCTAAAAATTACGTAATTTTATTGAAATATATAGAGTTTTACAGTATTTTTATGTGTGGTGTCTGGCGTGCGCACTAGGTATTAGATACATCACTTTTTTGTATAAAGTGACTATAACTTGTGTAATTTTGTGACAGCGATGTAAGTTTTACTTTCAGGAAAGTATCAGTCTCTAATCCATACTGAAAAATATTAAGAACGATATTTTCTGAGTACAGTAAGTTGGAATTCATTAGGTGAAGCTGGAGGAAACTAAAGGGACAAAAACGAAGGTAGAACAAAGTCGGCACTCGCAGCTTAAAGCGGCGGTTGGAACACTAAATTTCAATTCGCGAGGGAAACTTTAGGTCTTAACTTTGGCTTTTTATTTCTTACCTCGTACGAGGTACTACCTGGATTTGGATTAAGGCAGAATATAGGTGATTCGTGAAGTAGAAGACGCACACCAAGTTACACTTCGATGTAGTTTTAGTAATAAGTGCGATCTTGAAACAAATTCGACTCTATATTTTGTCGATTTTTGTACTCGTAGTAACATTTTAAACCAACGTTCTTTTTAAAAACACTCGTACTTCTGAAAATGTTATTGTAATTTGGGATGATTCTGTAAAATTAAATAATATAGGTATTAAGTTACTTCATACGAATAAGTTACGTAATTTCCCATAAATGTAAATTTTATAAATAATGTAAAAACATTGGAAGTTGAATAAAAGCAGGCAGCAAGGAATTTTATAGAAGGACCTACCTAGTTAAAAATTATAGCTATTCAAGCTAATTGTATTGAAGAAAAACTTTACGATATTAATTATCATAAGTTTTGAAACAAATATTAAATTCATAAATAAACAATAATATTCCTAAAATTCGATACAAATGTTGCCGCTCAGAATCGGTTCCATCTGTGCACCGTTTAAATTAAAAGTAATTTTCTTATGCAGAATTAATTAATGACTAACGAGCTCAATAGGGTTCATCAAGCGGAAGCGTGTAAGAGAGACAGTAGAGCACACGGAGCTAGTGGAGCGAGCAGGACGGAGGGGGTAGAGGCTGGAGTTGAATGAATTTATGTCGGTCTATTTAGTAACGCGTCAATTTGGCGCGAGCGAGGTGGCCGCCGAGGTTGTGTTTCGTCCTCGGAGCAAAAGCGCGGGAAACTACGTGCTCAGGCCACTAATAAAAAAATAAATAAGATTATTTTTTTCAAAAGTTTTACGTTCCAAAGAGTTTGTCGTGTGATTTTTAATTTTTGTGTCTATGTTTACAAACTTTAAAAACTTGTGTTGTGTATTGAAAAAAGGTCAGTTTGTGTAACTTCGAACAAAATGAGGGAAGATTAGAAGAGTGTAAAGATAAGACTACGGGAGTATTTTGAAGTGATAAATGAGATGAGCGGTGATAAAAATAATGGACTAAAATTAGATCTAACGCGCTAATAATAAACAAGGAACCGGCATGTCGCAGATAACGAGTATCTTCTAAAGTTTTTTGGTAAGAGGAAAAAACATTATGTGTTGATAAATATTGCTATTTACAAAATATTTCAGTTACTTGTATGAAAATATAGATTCGCTGTGTAGGTTATTTGTTACGGATTTACGGAATGAAACGAATTCAATTTTTAAAGTGTAAGAGTAGGTACCTACTGTTTCCATACAAAAACAAAACTCAGAGATTCATACAGATAAGTTAGTTACATAGTTACTTAAATCTTTTGTTTAGTTTGTGCGTGCACCTGTTTAGTTTTTTTGAAAGCATAGCCAGTAATATTATAGTGGAGTCCTATTTATTTTAAGATTAAATACATTACTACACTTTAGAAAGTTTGCGTGTAAGTGTTAGGTAAATGTATCATATCCAATAAGTGCTACGATGCTACGAACCAAGCACCATTAAATGTTGAACTGAATTGATAGAGTAATATATCGTACGTGACATTAATGTTGTTGAAGACTGTTTTTACACTTTATATTATTATGGCAGGTTCTACATACGTATGTAGTTTGATTTTTAAAGAAAGTATTAATGGTGCTACGAAAAAGCTCATGTGATTAAGTTTAATAGTAGATTTGTAAATGTTTTGTAAAATTAAGGTTTAATTACAAAATCCCAAATAGATTCCCATTGCTTGCACATTTTAATGCTACCTCTACGAAACAGTGTTTTAAATTGCACTTTTAATTTTTCCATCCCTCCGAGATAAGGAACAGAAACAATTTAAATTCCAGCCGCGCTCCAAATGATTCATTACGAGCTGTAACGACCGTGTACTAGCACAAGTACATAAATTCCTAGCTACGCCAAGCTTATATGTAGGTGCTGTGTACCTAAGATACGGGTTAATTATACTTCAAGTGCCGCTAATATTATTTAAAAGATCTACTTACTTTTCCAGCCGCGCTCCAAATGATTCATTACGAGCTGTAACGACCGTGTACTAGCACAAGTACATAAATTCCTAGCTACGTCAAGCTTACAGGTGCTGTGTACCTAAGATACGGCTTAATTATATTTCATGTGCCGGTAATATTATTTATAAAGATCTACTTACTTTTCCAACCGCGCTCCAAATTATTCATTACGAGCTGTAACGACCGTGTACTAGCGCAAGCTGTACATAAATTCCTAGCTACGTCAAGCTTATAGGTGCTGTGTACCTAAGATACGGCTTAATTATACTTCAAGTGCTGTTAATATTATTTATCAAGAGTAGTTACACTTTCCTGAATAAGTAGGATTGAACTATTCTTGAGTAAGCCTGCAGAAAAGTCTTTGTTAGGTAAACCTTGAGCTACATTTACTTTCTCTACTTTAACTAACTTATTGCATAATATCATTATAGTACGGATCTAAAACGATTCAGACGATTTTTATCCCAGTCGGTACTAACCTTAGACTTGAAATTAGACATACTCATAAGTTCAAGTGAAAATATAAAATCTTTGTTGTTGAAAATGTTCACGAAACATGAAAAAATAAATAAGCACTTTGCTTCCATAATGATTTTGAATCAATGTGTTCAACTCTCTCAATCTTTAATATTTTCAGTGCAATCACATTCTTAATCAACACCCACTCGTAGTAATAATTTAAATCATTTTGCTTTCAAATATCTCAGAACAAAATTATTGACCGCTATGAATATTTAAAAAAAATAACTTTCACACTTTTGGAGCTACAAAGTTGTTTACGCGAAAACTTTTTATGGGGCGCGAGCCCTGTAGCCGACTTGGAAGAGGCAGATAGTGGGTACTAAAGTATTTTTATCAGTCTCCAGAGTCCGTAGTAAAGAACGCGAGGAGAAAACTTTAGAGACCCTAATAAAATGCTGTAGGTTTAAGTACTGACAATATGAAATACTTTTGAAGAAATATTGATTGGGACAAAAATACGAGTCAAGGACTGTGGGAGATGTAGAGCCATAATTTGGTTTGAGGTAATGCTTAAAGTTCAATTACGTTCACGTTAAAACTGTATTTATTGTTGGTCATAATTATGTACTTTGTTGATTGTAGGTACTCTGTATGTGTTTTTTGAACAAATAAAATAAAACAAAATAAATTTTGGTGGTGGCAGATTCATTATACTCGTAGTCTGGGGATAGTAATTAAAATATACATCGTACATTAACGAATTAAAAGTGCGTTTTACGTCTGATTTTTCTTTATTTGTAACCTAATCCATGTAAACAAGAAATAGGATATGTAGATGAGCCCATAACTTTGGGATTCTCAAATAAGTTTTATACGAGGAACTTTTTATAGGTTATTTTTCCTATAACTTTGTTGTGAACAGAGGTTTGCACACATACACATCACGGTGGATTTATACCACACATAAAAATATAAAATTCTGTGGGAAAAGCGCTGCTTGCACAACGTACGTACTTCGTTCACGAACATCTGAAGTTACGAGCTGCGATAAAATAGTTTCAGTACAGTATACGTTGTTGTTATCTTCCTTCAATGTATCACCTATGAGATGTATCTTTTACATTAAATATGTGTCCATCAAAAATATGTAGTAGGTATGTGCAATACACATACTTTCAAAAGAATGAAGCCAGCAAAAAATTACGTGCTGGTTGCAAAAATTTGAGAAAACTAAGAAAATATTACTTTTGGCTAGAACATTATTACAATAAATGATGATGATTATGCTTTTATTAGACTAGACATGATAGAACTGCCTGTAAAATGTGTTAGTTAGCAAAATGTTAAGTTTGTATTTTATTTGCAGATGACTTGAAGAAAGAAACATGGATGCTTATCGGAGAGATATCACCATGGATATCAGTTGGTGGAAGAGCAGATTCCTGCTGGTAGTCATTGCAGCTGCTTACGTTACCACTCAAGGTAAATAATTAATGGACTAAGTTGTTTATTGATTTCTTATTTAATATTTACTTATTCTTAAGAATCATTAGGCGGTAATATAAGCGGTTCAATGTAGCTAACGCGTTGATTATACGAAAAATAAATATTGCAACAGTATTATTAATTAAAGTCTCATAATTACTAGAAGAAATGCTTAGTAAATGGTTACATAAGACGTAAAAACTGATTATTTTGATTGGAAACAAACTGCTACACTACTTTAGCGGGTGATTTATCAAAAGCCGTTCCTCTTAAAAGATGTGTTTATAAAGTAACGACGATAGCGGAAACTGGTCTTGTCCTAGAATCCGATCGGTAAATATTCTTATCTCATAGAGTTCTGAAGCAAGAAAATTATTAATGCCGTCATCTTACGACTATATTTTGCATATCTAATTCGAGCCGTGCGTACGCGAGGGCAGCCATTAGTGAAATGGGCTATAGTAAAGCCTGCGTCTTTATAGAATATTACGCTATCATCCGGTAATAAGCGCTATAGCTGTCATCTAGCTTTCTAAGGGTGCCTATAATTTGGTTTCATCGAAATCTGGCTCTAGGCTTATTAAACAGGTCTGTGCCCACCTAGTCCACTACGCAATTATCCGCTTCGGCTTTCTCTTTAATCCTAATATTGGAGGCGTCTATCGGACCGCCATGGACTCGCAAGTGACTGCGGAAATTTTGCTCGCTGATTTAGGCCCTAAAGCTTTAAAGCGTTTCAATTAAATGCTTATCTTCTGGCTTAAAATGTGGTTCAGTTAAAGGGCTTCAGTCCGCATTGTTTAATATAAATGGACAAGTGCCTAACTAACTTTTCTTGGCCAGCTTTACCGTTGAACCAATTTGATGGTTTTTGATTTAGAAATAGTCAAATAACTACTTGTGATTTTCCAATTTTGAATTTATGGAATTTTAGGCTTTTAAAGAATAATTTATATTTGGTGTGTCGTATTAGATAAGAAACCTGCGGACTCTAGGTAGATAAAAAAAATTTACGTTTTCGGCAAGCATTTCGCGTATTTATTACGAATCATGTCCATGATTAACAGCGTTCTGTAGACATGTTGTAAAGCAATGTAATGTAATAAAGACTAATTCCACGTCTATAAAGCAGTTGACAGAGCGAATAAAGTCGGTCGTTACTGGACGGATAGATCAAACGCCGCCCGGCTTGCGATGGCCATCCGTATCTGTCGCAGTCATTTTATTGTGGTTTGGCAGCAGCTGTTGGGGTAGGCTGCTTGGTTATGAGATTTTGAATCTGAGTGCATTAGAGTCTATTAGGAGCTTTGGCCAGTTTCAATAATTTTCTATTGCTATAAACTGATAATAGAAATAAGTACATGATGTTGATGTGCGTAGCTGTTAGCAAGGTAGCAAAGTAAGTTAAAGTTGTAAAGTTTTGCTTGAAAGAGGGAAAGAATCATATTGAAAAGATCTTCAACTAATAAAACCTCTGTAGGTATTAACTACTCCCAAGTGGCATAGGTTGGTCGTTATTGCCGGAATTTAAATTCCTTGAGTCTTTGGGCGGCGTTAGGCTGAAACAAACTGAAAAGAAGGCAGATGACTCTATTATTACAAGAAACCATAATGCAATTTCAACTAATCATCTGCCCGAAAAATGTTCAGTCAGTTCAATTTTCAATTGATTATTTTATTTTCAGATATTTCCATGTGCTGCACGAAAGCTGAGGGGACGTGCCGAAGTGTTTGCGAAAAGGTATGTGTCCAAGAACTGTTTTGAATAGGCATTCGTTCAGTGGGTAATTAATATGTAACGAGTGATAGTTAATTAGTTACTATTTCCTAAGAGAATGCAACCAAGTCTGTGTGACTAAGTGTGAGAAGAATGAAAAACAAGTAGGTACTACCATGTAAGGAAAATCGATGTAATCTTCAATCTTTGATGAACTTGTTGAATATTTCCACATAATCGTGGAAGGGATATCAACCTCCATGAAGACACGCCCCACTCGGCATTCACGGGACCGGTGTCAGGCATTCCTCCAAAGCTCGCTCATAGAATCTTAATCGCACCACAAGAATTTCCAATCAAACTTCTCAGTGGAAAGCTAAATTGACTAATTAAGCAGATTTATTGCTTCCCCAAGTTTCGGGGGGATATTTTTAGCTGAGCCGCTGGAAACGGGTCAACCGATATTTTTTCATATTCAGATCGCCCCCGATTTCCTTTCACGGGATCGATAGTCTTTGATGTTGTATAGTTTTGATGTTGAAATTAGGTAGGTACTACTTATGTAATTAAATTATGCGTTTTAAGAAGTTCCCATTTGTATAATATTCTTTGGAAAACAGTGTATAAGGATTCTGGAAGTTAAAAAAAATCGGAAGAACTCAATATAAAATGGAATTCCTTTCGTCGTCAAATATCCTATTGTTCATCATTCATTTGCATTAGTTTTTGAACATTTATATGCTGCGACTACCTCGTAGTTATTGAAATATGGTGAGGAAATCGTGGCGTCACGGCATTGTTACTTGTAAATCAGGCGTCGTCGTGTGTGCTTCGGGGAAGGCGCGCCGCGTGAATAAAGTGAAGCCATTATCGCGGGAGATCAGTGTTGCCAGCGTTAGAATACGGGATCGCCATCAGAATCCGGGTTTAGTCCTAAATCTTGCACGTGAAATGACGGAAGGGTTAGTTTGAAAAGTTGAGTATGAGGCGTCGTTTGACTTTCAAAATGTTTGAATAAATAAGTCTTAGGTACATATTAGAGCATTAATTTAGTAAAAAATTTATCTCGAATTATTTTTATTTTTATTATATTTCAAACTTCTGAAAACAAGATTTATGTTTGATCCCGGAAAGACTTATGACATTGATAAAATATCATGTTATATTACATTCTCTCAAAACACTGTTGCGTAAAGTAGATAAAATTAGCATAAAAATACTAATCATATCTCAGGGTTGTCATATCAAAAGGGGTTTTATCTCGGAGTGGTATCGGGAAATATGGGTACCGGGGTATGCACTAATACCCCGTATTTAAATACGCCTCGTTAGGCTGACGGCCGCTTCCTCCCCGCGACACCGTCTGAATAAGTTACAACGCCTTCGATTCCTCAATGCACACATTCGTGTAGTTGATGAAGAAATCAAAGTCAAATTGATAAATAGAAATAGCTCTCTAACGTGCATTATTTATTTATTACCGATGCTACTTTTATTTAACACTAGCTTACCGCCCGCGGCTTCGCTCGCGTGAAAAAAGGGCTGTTTTCAAGCTTTCCCCGGAAATTATTCAAAATTTTCTCGCCGTAAAAACCATCCTTGGACATCAATAAACATTAAAAAAAAGAATTGGTAAAATTGGTCCCGGGGTTTTTATATTATAAATAATCAGCATTCATTCCAAAAAAAGATCCGCATTCGCGTCCGTTCGACTCTATGTAACTACGGGTTAGATAAAGTTAAATAAATTAACCTGTAAAAACATCGCTCCTAACTTTTAACTGAAATTTTGGTGAATATTCATTAGTGAAAAGTATTTGAAAAACTCGGAGGAGTAGGTACATTTTTAGGCTTAATTGAGAGGAGGAATAAGGAGTCTATCGAACTATATTATCATTTGTAGTTTAATTATCCTACGAACTTCAAATATGAATCAAAATCCACTTTTCCCAGTCGGGTAAACATAATATGTGTTACCAGCCGGCGTCGTCTGCGGCCGTCACTCGCATCCGGCAATTTTAGAGTTAGGTGTATCAACGTAACTTGAGACCCGTCCGTTTTTGTTTCCTGTTATTTATTTTAAACTTTAATTGACTTCGCTTTTAACACGACGCTGAAAATTGTAACACTTGACTTCGGTTTTAATTAATTTAATTGTATTGTGAATTTGTGATTACTAAACTTTTAAAACTGCACTAAAAAGGAATCCATGTATGTTATTTATTTCTACGAAATCAGGATTGATTCATTTAACATACTACATACTGAATATATTGGTAGAGTCCCGTTGATAAGTTTTAGATTCTCTAGAACCGATAGATACTTAGATAAGACCTATTCTTGAGTAAAATCAACTTCGCACCTTAGGGAGGGGCGATAAGCAAAGGACCTATAATAGAGAATGCGTTCGAATAGTTAAGGCAGTGGTTTAAATCCTGTAGTAGACATAATCGTAGATGCTACGGAAAATGGCGTTAACCAATCATTTCAGGAGTTTAAATGGCGTGTCGCAAAACTCATACTGGACTTGCTGAAATGAAAGATGAGTATTGTATTAGCCTGAGCTTAGAGTCTTGATAGCAGTTGTGAGGGCTCATAAATGGCATAAACTCATTATCATTAATACAGTTTACCCCGCATCGATCCACCCCAAAATAGCAGACATCTAATAATAGTCTCTACTTTTTATGTTCACTAAAATCATCAAGTGTGTTCAACTGTGGTTCAACTAAGACAAACTGATTGTAAGTGGTTAGGGCGACACAAAGACAATCTAAATAAATTGGCTCGTTAAGCCGTTATTACAAGTATTTAACCCTCCCTCCCCTTACCAATTAATGGAAGCCATCTTTGAATAGAAAAATAATTATAGGACGTGTTTTAATTAGAAGGATAGGTATTGTAGGATTGAAATAGATTCTGTCTACGGCTTTTCATGAGCGCTATTTTGAGATTAATTTTGCTGTTGTGTACTGTATTATAAAATAACACTGAATTTATAAAAGTTTTTCATTCGACACTAAACTCTAAAATACAGAGAAAATAACTAGTTTTGAAAAATCCTCGGGTTCTGGAATAAAAGACATTGCTTATGTTTGAAAATCACATGAGGCAGTTTTTATTAATTAATCGGTTGTGAGACTCCTTTCAGCTTCTTATGGTTTTGGTAATGGGTAACCATTTTCAGAGTACTTCTAAGCGTCCCAAATGCAGCCATTACCCTTTAATTACCATTAATGCGGGGAACGAAAATGCTGCTCTACCTATAGATATTAAACACTTAGCCCATTTTCGTGTTGCTGTGGATTGTAATTGGTACCTTCGCGTCATCGCCTCGTACTCAGTAATGGTTCATGGGGACAGCAATGGGGAGGTGGTAGTGACAGTAGGGAACAATTGATGCTCTAATAACAAGTGCTCTGCGCACGCTTCGGGGATTCCCTGAAAGGTGAAGGTAGCTATCATTTTGCAGAATAATCAATGTCAATAATAGTGCTATTACGATTGATAGAAAATGGATTGCGTGTTTCAAAGTAGTTTTGTATTTTAGAGTAGTTTGTTGTTGAAAACATCGTGCCTTTTAAGTTATCTGCTGGTTTTGATTGCAAACAATATATGATTTATTCCTAAATAATTATCGTAATTTGCTCTTACACAATAAAAATAGATGAGTGCTGGGATGTGTTTTTCCTCGTCTTCCGAGTTAATTATCATGCGTGATTCATAAATTGTTGTCATCAGGACCTAGGTACCTACCTTAGTTCATTACGATTGGCTAGAATTTACATGATAATTAACTAATTAGTATAAAATTGAATGAACATCCAGTCCATAAATGAAAACGTTGTTTTGAAATCACTTCATAGGCGTGCACTCTTAAAAATAAACTTGTAATGCTTTACATATAAATCTTAGGAAGTAGGCCAGCATACCAAAGGGTTTCTCCGCGCAAACATCTGGCCAGCACGTATTCAGTTTAAATATTTGTGCGGATCACCATACGGAGGTAGGTACAGTTTATTGGGTTCTATTGGTATTGTAAATCGTGTGTTGCGGAGTGGCATCGCCGGCGTCGAACCGTGTCGGCCGATGGGCGCTGCTGTAGGGATGCTTGGTTTTCGATTGGTATTCCATCGATTTTATTAATAGTAGTAGATAATGTTATATTTGTTAACGATTTCTATACGATAAAGTACTTTTGTACCTAATTTGGAGAGGTTAGTCAAGAATTAAATGTAGAGTCGGTTATTTATAAGTAGGTTGTAGTCATAGGAAATAGTTATAAGTACATCATTGTATATTTAGACTAGGTATACAGTGGGAGAAATTGTCAAGTGAAGATCGGAATGTATTGCATCGGTCGGTAGACAGGACAGTGCTGTAGGGATGCCAGGCATTCCCTTTTATCGAATTCTGGAATTGGCGTGGACTGTAGACACTTCAATTGGCATGTTAGTTAGGGTAAAGGAATTAGTTGCCAATCATAGTTTATATTTGGCTCGTAAATCGCGCGAGAGATGTGGAGAGGTCGTTGGCGAGTGTTAGGGAATCAGGGATGTTAATATCTGAGCAGTACTGAATTTCATATTATACACATTATCATATTTGTGACATTTGCAGACTTTTATGCTACGAGAGGTACTAGCTGTGTATGAGAAATATTGTTCCAGCGTGTAACTTCAGCGCTGCTCGTAGCACTTACTAACGTGTGTAGCAGAAAATAGAGTAGTTTATTAACGTAATTTGTAGCATTCATTGTAATTGTTATCTCAGCTTTATTTTTCGTTATTTTAAATTTAATTTAAAGTAAACTTTGAATATCGATATAACCACGCTGACTTTATCGACATTCTAAAAATGTTCAGCGATACATCACCGCGTAGCGTATTGCCAACTACTAGTGTAAACACGTAGCACCTATCCCGCGCGTAAACATCTGTATTTATTGGTCTGCGCCCGCGGCTCAATGAAAGTGACTTGTGAAATATGAAATCGGCAGGATGTTCTTTTACGAGCTTCCACAG